GAGTGAAGGGGGCTCTGTTAACAATCAGACTAGGACAAACCAAGACAAAGGGTCACCCTACCTGGCATGTGTTTGAGTCCCGGCTTCTTGTTGCTGCCTGGTACCCCCAGTGAACACCCAACACGTTTTGTTTATCATTCCCCAGTGACACACAGCTGGGGTTAGTCTGACTTCCCGCTGTCACACTGGCACACACGCTCAGGCAGACACCACAGGAAAACCTTGGACACACTGCCCATAGAGCTGTGTGAGAATTTCTTTATGACTGGGGGCTGGAAACAACACACTAGGCATATCTCCGCATGGCCAAGTTGGGTTCCAACAAGATGAGACTCCAAGCCGCTTAAATCCTTGTGTTACGGGGGCAGAGGAAGTTTGATCTCTGTCTCCTTTCTAAAACTCCTATAACATATAGGCTCCAGCCTGCTAGAAATGGAGACACCAAGGCTGTGGGGTGAAAAGAATGTTTGGTGGAAGAAGCAGTACGCTCACCCGCTTGCATACAAATATTTGTGGAGTGAATATGTTTAAAGGCTGTGGCCTTAGCAAGTAAGAATAATGAGTGTACAGACAGCGCTTTACTGCGTTCCAGCCATTCTCTCTCAAAGATAGAACATGATGTTGCTGGGTGTGATGGCACACACTTGTAATCTTGGCCCTCACAAGGCTGAAGCAGGAAGAGCCCTGGAAATTCAAGGCCAGCGTGAGCTACACAGTGAGCTCAAGGCCAGCCTGAACTCCATAGCGAGACCCTGTGTGGAGAAGTCAAAATAAGAGGCTGGAGATTTAGCTCAGCGGCATAAGCGCCTGCCTTGCAAGCAAGCAGTCGTGAGTTCAATCCCCGGTACCGATAAAAAGGAAAAAGACAAAAAAAAAAAAAAAGTCAAAATAAAATAAAATAAAATTGGATATCCTTGATGTCACCTGGGCCATTAATGGTCAGACTTTTGATGGCCCCACAGGCCTCTTTCTGAGATAACCATGTGAAACATCCCTCGGACAGGAGCACGCTGCCTTCCTAATGAGGAGCTGCCCCACGTCTGCATTTCACACACCAAGGGTGCACGTTCACCACCTGGAGACACAGTAGGTGTCGGGGAGCCTGAAAGCTTGTGTGTCCAGGTCCCATGTGCGGCTGGCCGGAGGTTTCACCGTGAGCCACAGGATCCTACAGAGCTGCAATATGATTATTACACAAGAGTCTGCACTGCTGCAAGTTATTCAGTACCAAATCCTTGCTCACATTTCCCTGCCTGTCTGATCCTTCTTTTAATGTATTTATTTCTTTTTTGGTCTTTTTAAAGGCAGGGTTTCATTTTATGGTTCAGGCTGGCCTCAAACCCTTAGTAGTGATCCTCCTGCCTCAGCCTCCCAAGTGCTGGAATGACAGGCATGTGTCACCCGTGCCCGGCTTCTAATCCTCCTTTTTATAGTACTTTTAATTGTTTTGATCCAGGCTCCAATCAAGAATTACATTACATTTAGTTCTCACTTCTCCTCAGTCCTTCTCCTTTCATCCAGAATAATCCCCATGGTTTCTTTGTATGGGACTGGTTTTTTGTTTGATTTGGGTTTTGTGTATCTTTCATGACAGTAATTTTGTTTCGTTTTGAGATGAGGTCTCGCTGTGCAGTTCACGCTGGCCTTGAACTCACTATGTGGCCCGAGCTGGCCTCAGACTCTCAGCGATCCTCGTGCCTCCGCGTCCAGAGTGCTGGGACTACTGGCGTGTGCCATCATGCCTGGCCGGCAGTACTGTTTTTTGAAAAGTTCTGGCTACTTTTGTTGTATAACATACCAAAATCTCTGGGTTTTTTCTGCGTTTTCCTGATCTTTTCTCACAAGTGGATGCAGGTTAAGTGTGTTTGGTGTGTTTGGCACTGCGTGGGTGATATTTGCTCCACAATACAGGGCTGCATGTCATTTGTCCCATTATCCATATACTAACCTTAAGTGAAGGGAGTGATTACCCAGTCATTCCATTGTAAGGAGACGTTTTTTAATTTTTATTTATTTATTTATATTTATTATTTACAGCTCTTTTTATTTATTTATTTTTGTTTGTTTGTTTAAAGACATGGTCTCCCTGCCTTGAAAGCAGAGAGTCGTGAGTTCGATCCCCGGTACCAATAAACAGACAAAAAAAAAAGACATGGTCTCACTAAGTTACTCAGACTGGCCTCAAACTTGTGATCCTCCTGCCTCAGCCTCCCAAGAAGCTGGAATTATAGGCATACCCCATCCTGACTGATTCTTGTAGCACAATATCTTAAGGCTGTTTATCTGGCTTCTCAAAAAGCTTCCTTCCAGTGGTTTTAGCATCTATTAACGACCCATGTTTCATATCATAGGAACTATTTAAACACTTAATAGTGCCTGAAAATGTGTGTGTACATGTATGTGAACATATGCAAGAAAAATTAAAAGGTCTGAAATCCATTCACAGTGATAGAGTAAGTAGAAAATGGGGTGAGAGCTACATCTTTCTTTGGAACAAATGTTGAGTAATTTAATTACCCCCGACTCTAAACAGGGCCCATTCTGATCTCCTCCAAGAAAGAAATTACATACAGAAGACTCCCCCCCGCCAGGGTATGCTTCCTCCAACTGCCTCTTGATTCTGTCTCTAACGTTAAGACACAGCTCCGGGACAGACACCCAACCCTCCTCATAGGAGCTTTGACAGGAGCTTCCGATCTGGGTCCACCCCTCAATTCCTGGTTTACTTCCACAGTCTCCTTACCCTAGAATGTAAGGGGAGATGCCAGATCTGCCCTACACCAAGCCAGATTCAGGTCTCATTCCCCCAGGAAACAGGAGCATCTCCAGGTTCCAGTCCTGAACTTTGGGAGGAGGAGACTCTGAGCCATGAGGCCTGGCTCTTGGGCAGATTCTATGGACTGAATTATTGGGATGAAACACTGCCTTCACTCATCCCCTTGGGCCATACCCAAATTATTGAAAAACAGATACAGCTCAGTTGTTAGAGCATTTGCTCAGTATGTGGGAGGCTTTAGGTTTCAATTCCCAGAATGCAATGGAAAGGAAAGGATACAAGACTATACCATCTGGTCCAGAACTACATTACTGTCCTCTCTAGTCCAAACTCCTCACCCTACAGTGAAGCTGCAAGTTTGGAAAAAGCAGGGGCTTTGGAGGCACACAGACCCAAGTTCAAGGCTCTCCTCTATCACTGCTGACATTGTGACCTGGGTGGGCAACTTTGCCTCTCTGCAGCTATTTCCTGTCTGCAAAATTGCCTTGCAGCCAGCAGATTATGACTGAAACTGTGAGCCAAAATAAACTTGCTTTAAATTGTGGATGTTGGGTACTGCAGCTATGTCCTGTCTGTAAAATTGGACCAATTATCCCTTATAGAATTGTCACTGGAATCAAAGACAACGTACGTAAAGTTACTGCTATGATGCCTGGCATGTACTAATTTGCAAGCCTGGACTAGGCCGTGTGATTTTACACTATAGTAATATCTATCCATTCTAAATTCACTCATTTTGTCTGCCCTGTGACAATAGATCTAGGCTTTGTAAATTTCACTCACTTACACATGTAAAGCCTCCACAGCAGAGTGTACTAGAGTCACACTGGAGGACAGTGGATCTGCACTTCTAAGTTCCAAAGTGGCTCATAGCCAGGTCTCTGGAGGGCCTGCTTTCTGTTCTACTTGTCTTAGTCACTTTCTTCATCACTGGGACACAGTACCCAATATCCACAATTTAAAGGAAGTTTATTTCAGCTCACAGTTTCAGTCCATAATCTGCTGGCTCCAAGGCAAGACAGCCTGGCAAAGGGGCCCAGGGGAGGAAAGCTACTCACTCATGGCAGCCAGGAAGCAGGGAGAAAAAGAAAAAGGAGCCAGGAAAAACCTACCAGGTCATGCCTGCAGTGATCCACCTCTTCCAAGTAGGCCCCACTTTCCAACAGCAAGTCAACCACATTGCCCCAACTCCTCACCATCCAAAAGCCCCACCTCTGAGCACATGGGTCTTATGGGGGCATTCAGTTATAGCCAGTGACATCACTGCTTGGACCAAAGAAAGCTAGGTACCTGCAGGATGCAACTTTCTCCATTTTGCTTACTGCACTATACACTTTTATTACAAGCCTTAACTAGAGTAGCAACTGCAAAGCCAGGAGTCTCAGGAATTTATTCAAAGAGTTGTGTTGAAAATCAAACGGGATAGTCATTTATTCATTGAATAAATATGGTCTTCTCTATTCCAGATGTTACCCCCCTTTTGCTTTATTTTTCTCTACATTATTCACTCCAGTTAACATATTTAACGCATAACCCATACATTGACATCTTTGTATTATAGAGATGCTGTTTTCTAGATTTTATACTCTATGTATTATTCCTGGTGCTCAAAAGTCAGCAGTGAATATTTTTTTTTTTCTTTTTGAGACAGGGTTTCACTGTGCAGTTCAAGCTGACCTTGAGCTAATTTTGTAGCTCAGGCTGGTCGCAAACTTGCAGCTACGGATTATATTTTAAACTTTATATTTTATTTATTTTGTCCTTTTATTTTCAGTCTTCCATTCTCCTCCTCCCCATTAAAATGCAAGCTGCATGAGGGCAGGGATGAACTGTCTGTATTGTTTTGTCTGTATTGTTCACATCAGTGTCCCCAGACCCTAGGAGGTAGCTGGCACAGAGTGGGCCACCAAATAAATAAGGAGAGAACGAACAATTGAATACTGGATAAATGCATGCGTGAATAGACAAATTCTTTGTTGGAGGACGAGTTTGTGGAGACTAGGACAACGTGCGATTGATTAAACCAGTTCCAGAGTCCCTCAGATAGAGGACCTCGGCCTGATCCGGCTTCCTTTCCCGAGGCTAGAAGGTTGCTTAGCAACCGGCCGCCCCGCCCCCGCTGCCGCTGAGGGGAGGGAGGGAGCAAGCAAGGGAGCGGGAGGGCGGGGCCACAGGAGCGCGCTCGCGTGCGTGTGTGCGTGAGGGGCGCGGGGCGGCAGGGAGGGCACGTCACTTCCTGTTTCTTTAGGGAACGTGGCTTTCCCAGCTGCGCCCGTTCCTGCCTCTGAGTTCCTGCGGCGGCCGGAGCTGGAGTCAGAACCCGAGCGCAGCCTTGCCATGGACTCGGCACTCAGCGACCCACACAACGGCAGCGCCGAGACAGGCGGCGCGGCCAACGGCACGACGCGGCCGCCCTCCACTCCCGAGGGTATTGCGCTGGCCTACGGCAGCCTGCTGCTCATGGCGCTCCTTCCCATCTTCTTCGGCGCCCTGCGCTCCGTGCGCTGTGCCCGCGGCAAGGTAAGGTCGATGCCAGAGCCGGGCGCTTCCCATCCCGGTCCTAGACGCGGCTGGCTTGGACGCTTCCCAGCAGAGCCCTCCTAGGCGGGGCAGACGCCCCCCCCTTCCCGGGCACCGACCCTTCCCAGCATGGGTCCCCATCCTGCGTCCGCGCCCGGTGCTGGCCAGTGACGTCTTGGGGTCTGGGTACTGACACTTTCCTCCGATAGGGATTAGTTTCTACCGCCACCCGGACCCAGACACAGCCCTGTCTGTGCATCATGCTGCAGCCAAAAACACTATCAGCCGACCCTCTCACACTGCGACTCGATCACTGATTATTTCGGGCCTCTGGGGCCCGACCTGTACCGGAAGAGTGCTGGTCCTCAGAGCTCAGTGATAGGATCCGTAGACATCTCTGGGTTAGGAGCCCTGTCATCACCCCAGGGCCAATTCAGACCCATCCCTAGGCAGACTTGTCTCGCCACACTGAGGGCAAGCTGTGTCCTCACCTAGAGCTCCCACATAAGGCCCCTGCCTGAAACAGTGAACCCAGGAATACAGTCCCAGCTCAGCCTCCAGTCTTTTGCTTCACTTTCTTGATCCAGTTCCAGTCAGCCAGCTCCTCAGAACAGTGGCACATTGATCGCTCTGCTTTTTAACCACGAATAGACACCTCTTTATGTTGGTATCCTCCATAACTACTACTTAGCCTTGGATCTATCCTAGCCAAAGCCCAGGTCCTGCTTCTAATCTCTAACACTGTTCCCACACCTGCCCTGACCCCTCCCTCAGATAGCCTTTCTCCCCATTCCTCTAAAATGGTCCCCCCCACCAAATTGGGCCTACCTGGGGAGTAAGCCAGTGTTGGCATCCCTTTGGGACTGAGCTGGACTCCACCCATGACCTTCCTCTACATCTATCCCTTTGATGATACCTAAGACCACTCCAACGTCTTCCACCTTCTGCTTCCCGCTCTCCCACCCTCCTCACTTCCACACCTTCCCTATATTGACCCTGTCCACTCTTTGGAGCGATGGCTTCTCACTTCCTGGCACCCTTTTCCTGTCTTGACAGCCTCTTAACCTGCTACTCCTCCCCCACCAATCTTGAAGATGAGCCCAAGCAGAGAGCAGAAACCAAGCAGCTGTCACTTTTGAAACTGCCACATTTCAGGTTCTCAAAACACTACCCAGCTCATGCAATGACAGGACAGCCACCTTTTTCGAAAAACAGAGAAGTCACCTCTGGCTTTCTGTGGTCAGATGTGAAGAGTAGTAGTCAGGTGGGGCTTAGGCTGAGAGGCTCTGGTGTGATCCTGTTTTCCTTTCTATTTTGCTTCTTGTAACAATTCAGGGGGCTTTAGCCTCTTTTCCAGAGATGTCAGCCAGATACTTGGTGCAGAGAGAAGTTGTGAAGTAGACCAAGGTGGACGAGGCAAAAGGGCAGCTTGCCATGAGGCTGGGGGCTTGATCTGAGAGGCTCTCGTTCTATCCAAGTGACCTTCCTTGTCGTCTTCTGCACATGGATCACTGATCTTTTCAGAGAGCACCTGCTAGGCAACAGCATTTCTACCACGGTCTAGGGTGTAGGCATGCTGCAGAGATGAGTAGGTCAAAGCCCTGTCACCAAGGAGTTCAAGAGTGTGGATGAGGGAAGGGAAACTGGTCTGTGACTATAATGCAAGCTGTGCTTCAGGCTTCACAGAGGAATGCTGAGCACTTGTGGAGCAGGGCAGGGATTGCAGGGGAGAAGAGCTAGAGGCTTGATGGTGAGGAACAATTCTAGCCAGATGAGGGCATTCTAAACAGGAGAACCAGGAAAGGAGAGGTAATGAAGGCCAGAAAGTGCAAGACAGTCCAGAAAGCAGCAAATGGTCTGGTGTAACTGGAGCCGAGCATGTGGAGAGAAAAAATCTTTAGGCTTTAATAACAGCCCCCAAGCATCTCCTGCAGGCCACCAGGGTTTAAAGACTGAAATTACCAACTGATCATCCATTAACAGTGTCCTACCACCAATAACCAGGTTGCTTAAACCCTTTACCCTCCCCCCTCCATGCACACATTACCTGAATGCTATAGGGCACTGACAGTATTCTCTCTGTTGTATAGAAAAAGAAACAGGATCAGTCAAAGTTCACTCTGCTATTTAAGGGCTGAATCAGGTGCTAAATCCTAGACCAGGGCTCTCACTGATACTGATGTCCCTGAAGAGCTACAGAAAGAGCCTTTTAACTTGAGGACCAAACAGACCAAACTCCTTTTCTACCCTGAATTATTTCCCTTGTCATTTGGCAAGGAGAGAGAAAATCGGTGTGAGGGCCTTAAAGTTTTAGATTCCAACTAGTTTTGTGATTGGTTTGATTTGGTTTGTTTGCTTATGTGTTTGTTTGAGACAAGGTCTCACTATGTAGTTCAGGCTGGCCTTGAACCTCATTGTGTAGCCCAGGTTGTCTTCAAATTTAAGGTGATCCCCCTGCCTCAGCCTCCTGAGTACTGGGATTATAGATGTGCGCCATGACACCTGGCTTAGATTCACAGTAGGGGTGGACCCCAGAACCAGGTGAGCAAGAGCAAGTAAGGACAGAATCCCCACGGGTCAGAATGACAGCAGGCAGGGCATACTGTAAAGACCTGTGAAGGAAAGAAGGTAGAATAAGCAGGAGTGTTGGGATGTAGTCTGCCAGGGGCACTGTCTCTGCAGCGCCCAGCCTGCCTGAGAGCTGTATCCCCAGAAGGGAGTCAGGTCCAGGCAGTACCTGCACATCAGATTGAATCAGCAGCCTTTGTCCGGTACTGCAGATGATCCCCTCAGCCAACAGGACTGGTCATGGGTACCAGGAGTGCCCAGGTAGAAAAGGGCAAGCCTTCCTTCCAGAACTGTCACCATCAAGATCCAGAAGTGTTGCTAGCCCACAAGATTGAATTCCAGGGGAGCTAGTAGCACAGTGGATGAGGGTTCAACAGGCAGGATAGGAGTGAAGAAGTGAGCGCAACACAGGGGCTACGTGTATGACAGGATGCTCAGGGAGTTTGCAACCTTCTGAGGAACAAGCTCACACAGGTAATGTAACACTTAAACCTTAGTGGTCACCAAAATACTACATACTTGTACAAATTTCAAGCAGTGCAGAGATATAAAGGAAAAAAACCTTCAGCACTACCCCTCAGAAGTAACTCACTTCACTGTGTGTATGTGTACAGTGCTAGGGATCGAATCCAGGGCTTTGCACATGCTAGCATACTCTACTACTAAATTACAGCCCCAGCCCACCTTCCAGAACTTTTCTGTATATACAAAATATGTGCATGCAAACATACAAGTAAGTATTTTATAAAAATGAGGTTCTGTAGCACATGTTACTTTGCAATCTGATTTTGTTTTTTCTGTAACGATATGTTTTGGTCATTTTTCTGTGTTAGATCTGCTTCACCCTTTTGCGGCAGGCAGGGCAGGTAATGTGTGTTCCTGGTACAGAATGTAAAAGATACACAGCATTGTACTGTGAAAGTTTCCTCCCATCCAGCTGCCAGCTTCCTCTCACGGCACAGTCCTAGTCACCTGTTTCTTAAATATCCATCCAGGGAGATCCTATGCCTTTACAGATAAGTAACCATATTATTTCCTCAATTTTTGTTATATAACTGATACTTTGCTTTTTTTAACCCTGTGGAGATTGGTTGTGTCTGTACCGTGTGTTGTGTTTTCTCTAACAACTGTGTACATCCCACCCATACTCCTAGCTTGTTTAGAACTGGTGGCCCCTTGAACTTGTGGCACAGCCTCACCTGGGGTCTTGGGAGAAGTACACACTCAGAATTAGAAGACAGAGGGCCCCGCAGTGTATTTCATAAGCCTCTACAGGTTCTGAGCAATTCCTTTTTTTTGGTACCAAGTATTAAACGCATGACTTGTGCTTGCCAGGCCAGCACTTATGGCACTGAGCTAAATCTCTGGCCCTCCTATGGTCCTGATGTGCACTAAGAAGCACTGACTTAGAGGCAGTCATTTAGGTGTTTTGGTCCTCAGCTGTTGCAACCCATGCTGAAATTAATGTCCTTGATCATTCACTATTTCACATCTGTTCATATATTTGTAAATGACTCAAAATGAATTTCCTGGGTCAGAGGCCATGTGCATTTTTTACTTAGATTTTACAAAATGATCCCCGTAGAGATCCTATCCATTTTATCAGTACATTTGTAGTACACAGTGATTACAGTCATTGTAGGAAGTAGTACATGTACGTGACACATCTTGATTCTTTTTATTACTTCCCTTTTCCTTTCCTGCATCTCAGAATGCCCTTCCCATTTACCTGTGTACCATTTACATATTTCCTATTGTCTTTCTTTTCCTCTTTAAATTATTTTTACGTTTCTCATATAAAAAGATAAGTGATACTTAAGCTAGTATGTCTGATTTATTTCACCCAACATGGCTTCAAGGCACTTTCATTTTCCTACAGATGACTCAAACTTACCCTTCTTTGCAGCGCAGCAGTTCTCCACTGTGTATAAATACATTTTCTTTATCCATTCTGTTCTCATTTCTTCTTTAATGGCTACGTAGTAGTCCATTCCTCAGGGAAAAGGCAGATTAGTGTTAGAGTCAGATGTGAGCTTTAGAGAGACCACAGCATGCCAGGTAGTCAGAGGAGGCAGAAGGGTGAAGAACAGGTGTAGTCATCTTGAAGACAGCTGTGGATTGAGGTGAGTGGGGATAGGCACGAGCACAAGAGACCCTGGGGTCTCTGGCTGGGATGACAGTAACAGAATGGTCCAAGTCTTCCAGGGGGTTTCTGAGGCGTGGCCTAGAAACAGTCCCTGTGCCAATGGTTTGAACCCAGGCATCTGTCTTCCCTTACTCCTTTTGCTCTGCTCTGATAACAGAACATTCAGAATATGCCTGTCAGCTAAATTTATTTGTGCTGTTTGTGTTAGCCTTTTCTCCATTCCTTATGTTTTGTGTTCCAGGAGCTATTATGTTTGCGTAAATGTGTTTGGTTTAAAAAGAAAAATCCACCCCTGATTGACATGCTTTGAAATTTCATTGTAGTTTTTTTTCTTTCTTTTTATGTTGGAGTAAAATGGATTTGAAAAAGAAAAAAAAATCCAAATTGGTAAAGAATCGATCCTACAACTTTTAGTATTTTCATAACTGTAAAGATTACCATCTACCTTTCAGATTCTGTTCTTCAAGAAGATCACAGGCTTCTTGAGCATCTTCAAGTCACAACTTTCTAACAGATATTTCCAGATAGGAAAAATAGAAGTCAGCCTGTAAATAGTAGCCAAAATCTTGAGTTCTGCAACCAGACCACCTCACCTGGCTCTGCTACTCACCATCTGTGTTCTGCTAAGCAAGTTGCTTCACCTCTCTGAGCCTCACTTTCCTTGTCTATAAACATATCTGTCTTGTAGGGATTTGTAAAGCAACTGGAAGGCTGCTTGGCATGTAGAAAGTTTTCAGTAAACATTAACTCTTATCTCTGTTGTTGCCAGTCAGATTTCAAGTCTCACCTTCTGATGAGCCATCACTCTGGTTTGTCAGAAAGGCCACAAGCTCACATCCCTGAGCTTGTGTGTGTGCAGGCCTTTGCCTTCACTTCCTCATACACAAGCAGGCTCTTCAACTCAGCATTATATGGCTCCTACTGCATTACCAGACCCTGGGCCTGGCTTCCAGGGTCTTGTTTAAGTGGCACCTGCTCTAGCTGCCCTGTGACGCTCTTATTTCCTGCAGAAACCGTGTTGCCTACTTACTCATAGTTCCCTTCTACTTAACAGTGATACCCATAGTGAGTACAGCTTGAGTGATTATTCAGTCACCATGCTGAGTGCTTCCAATGCACATTGGGAATCCTTACAAGTCATTTTACAGCCAAGGAAATCAAGACTTAAAATCACTTTCCCGAAGCCCACAGCTAGCAAGAAAGTACCAGGAAGTCTGCCTGGGCCTGCTGACCTCAGAAACCTCTCTTTAACTGCCTGGCATTCATGCTATACATTGTGTCAGTATGTGGGTCTGTTTTGCCACTTGTCACACCACATTGTTTACCTAGCAGGAGCTTAGCCTACCAGCCTGGGAACTCTTCAAGATTAGAAGCTGTCTAACTTACTCTTTACCCACACTGCTGCTACACAGGACCTGTACTAAATTTGCAAAGGTGCACAGAGCACATAAGGCATTTGGCCACCAGCACACACTGCTGCCAAAAGCAGAAGCCAGGAACTGGCAGAGAAGAGGAAATGAAGGAAACTGGGCCCCTGGGTATGAGAATTGCTCACCCTCCTCACCCCCACCTCCTGGCAGAGCTGCCGTAGTGGAGTGAGTCACACCGAACTGCTGTCAGCCTTCCAGTGGGGGGCTGGTTAAGGGCCTTCTCACTCCCTCTCCCTGATAGTCTTAGCCAGTCCTGTGATCACAGGACTTACAGCTTGCCAGCTCTTTCATGTCCATATCTCATTTGGTTTAAGCTTCTTGGTCCTTTTTGGAGTGAATGAAGCTAGATGTTGCCATGCTGTTTGGCAGATGAGTATGCTGAGGTTCAGAGAGCAAATGACCTTCCTCTGGCACCCAGCAAGCCACTCACAGAGCAGTGAATGCTGAGGATGTACTCTGTATCAGTGGTGCGTGTTGCAGCAGGTTATTATTGAAAGCTCTAAAAGATTCACCGTCACTGCTTTATACACATCACTTTGCTTAGGCCTAAGTTATGTCTGTAGGAAAAATTCCCGAAGTACAATTGCTTCATCAAACGGTATGTGCACTGTGGTTTTAACATATATTGCCATATGATATTATCTCTACAGGAAGACTGATTTGCTCTCTCTTGCCCCATAGCTCACTAACTCAATATGTTGCCAAAACTGTATAATCTTGCCTTTATAATAAGTGAAAAGTGGAATTTCTTTAATTTGAACTTCTCTCATTAATAGTGAAGAGGAGGGGGAAAAAAAAAAGCAGAGTACTAGGCAAGCCAGGCTAGTGATAGCACCTATAATCTCACACCTCAGGATACAGAGGTAGGCAGAGGATTCACAAGTTCAAGGTCAGCCTGGACTACATGATGAAACCCTGTCTGAAAAACAGGTAAGGGGCTAGAAATGTAACTCAGAGGTAGTGCCCTTGTCTAGCGTGTATGCAGCATTGGAGGGAAAAACAGGAGTGAACATTTTTCTTTAAGATCATTGTAATTCCTGTGCTGTGAATCTTCTGTGTGTCTTTGGGTATATGCAAATTATGATTTAATGCATCTGTCACATTTATGTTATCCTCAAAGGTCTGAACAGATCTGTCCTCAAGCCAGTGGTGTATACACATCCTGGTTCCTCACACCTCTTATCTCCTAGCAACCATGTCACAGACCTGTTGCCCTCTGCTCCTGTCTCCTCCCACTCTGCAGTCTCCACCTGGGGCCACTAGAGCCTCCGCACAGCTCCTTTCTTAGCATATTTTTCCTGTTTGAGAATCAGATATGAGCCAAAGTATTGGTGAGACTCACCCTAATGTGATCTCTTCTCCCAGAGACACTGACACCATTTTCACAGGACAGACAGGCGATGGTGGAATCCCAGCCACTGCGTCCAGCCTGTGGCTGTGGGGCATGAGCAGAAGTTTTATCTGGCCTTGCTGGGATTTTCAGTAGCTGTGATATAAAACACTTGGAAACGTGGAAGGCCTGGATGGCAGTGAGGTTCACTGACCCCTGGAGGACTAAGGACTAGCCTAGCAGAGAGATGGCAAGTGTGGTGAATCTGGAAGCTTGTGAATGAAACATTAAACCAGGATTATACTACATGAGTGAGCTTTCATTAGAAGCATAAATTCTATGAAGCTGATGTAATTCCTGTGTCATACTGCTTTATTTTCAGTTCCATCACTTTGAGTTCTTTTTCATGTAAATATTTATTCTTCTTCAGCTCTTTACCCCACATCACAGTTTTGCCAACTATAGCATCTGCCATTATAAGTGTAATTGTGGCTTTCATTTCTGTCATATTCATGTCTCCCAGACACCGATCTTAAAATCTGCTTCTTGTGGTTTGTATCTTCCTGGGTACAGTTTTAGCCATTATCAGTTTTGTTTGTTTATTTCAGCTCATCATACCCATTACCTGCTGGGTAAATACCAATGTTATTTCCTTCTCAGCTGGCACATAAGAATACTAGAGACAGTGGCTGCCTCATGAGCTGCTGTGGTGTCATCGTTCTGCAGGGTTTTTTCCTCTTGATTGTTACATGCTGTAACTGTCTCAGCTGTAAAGTCGTGTCCTGGGTTCTTCTTGGACAGTCTGTACCCTAGCCCAGCTCTCCTCAGTGGCAGAGTGCTGAGATCACAGCATCTGCCTGGGGTGGGGAGATGGGCAGCCTCTGGGGAAGAGCAAGACCAGCATTAGTGAAAGCTGGTAGGAACCCCTGAGGCACCTAACTGGACTGGAGCTGTGAGGGAAAGAGATGAACAAGCTGTCCAAGCCCTGCATATTCCCACCAGTGTGCAGCTGTGATATACAGGCCGTAGCCCTCGGTCAGCAGCCTCTCCTGTGTCTCTCCTCCAGAATGCCTCAGACATGCCTGAAACCATCACCAGCCGGGATGCTGCCCGCTTCCCCATCATAGCCAGCTGCACGCTCCTGGGACTCTACCTCTTTTTCAAAGTAAGTCTTGCCCTCCATGGTGTCATTTGGTTTAAAATAACTGTATTTTATTTTGTTTCATTTTTCCCAGCACAGGAGACATGTGTGTTCATTATAGAAAACAAATCAGAGAAAAGTGAATAATTCACCCATGACCCACCACAGTGTTAGGGACTGTTGCAGCTAGTCTGCTTATTTTCTCCATGTAGTTTTTGATTCTGTTTTATGCTACCAGTCTGGTTTTGTTGGACTTGGGGTACAGCTCGTGTCTCAGGCATGCCTCTGCCATATTAATCACCTTTTTATTTTTTAATTTTATCGAGGTTTATTTTCCCAATAAATGTTATACAAGCTGAGTGTTGAAAACCTGGAAAACACAGAAAAGTAAATAGGGAAAAACAGCAGTCATTCAAAATCGCACTTCCACAGAAAGTCACAGATTCCCCTTGGAGGTGTGTCCTTCCGGTGTCCAGTGCCTGCTTTCTTCCTGGCTGTGGCCACCTCATGTCCTCGGTCTGTGGCTGCTTTATCACTCATCTGATGACATCATGAGCATTTTCTCACATAACCACAAATACTCTGTAACTTTTCTGGTTTCTAAAGTCTAACTCTACTATTTTTCTGGTTATACAAATTTTATATATATATATATATGTATATGTTTCTCTCTCTCTCTCTCTCTCTATATATATATATATATATATAGAGAGAGAGAGAGAGAGAGAAAGCTGGTGTGTTACACCAAAACAGTATATTAAGAAAGAAAAACAGGGGCTGGGGATTTAGCTCAGCGGCATAAGCGCCTGCCTTGCAAGCAGGCAGTTGTGAGTTCGATCCCTGGTACCGATAAAAGGGAAAAAGACAAAAAAAAAATTTTAAAAAGTTATCAAACTTGCGTCTCCTATAACCATAGAGATATTTTTGTATCAGCAGAGTCAAATTTACCTAACTAGGTGCATGGCTTTTTAATAGCTGCTCATGCTGGGGGCATTAGGTATGTCGAATGCTGGGTGTCATAGCAGCGCTGCATTGGACATCCTTATGCTTGTATCTTAGAAATGGCATACATGTTTTCTTCAAGTATGTCTGCAGCAGCCTAGGCTGTCACATAGTCTCGATGTGTAATTGGACAAAGAGTGCCAAATTGCCATCCAATAACATTATAACAATTTACATTTCCATTCACAGCTACACGTATACTGGCATCCCCATGTTCTCAACTGCATAGGTTCTACCCAAATTTTAGTTTTTATCCATCTTTGAATGAAGATAACTTCTAATAACTTTTAATGCCTGTTTTGTATTGCATTGCTCCCTCATTGTTGGATCAAAGATACTCTTTTTGATGGCTGTAGAATGTTCCTACAAATAGAAACGTCACATTTGATTCACAGCATTCCCTTCACTTTTTGGTTTTTTGGTTTGTTTGCTTGCTTTTTGTATTTGTTTTTTGTTTATTTTGTTTTGTTTGTCTGAGATAAAGTCTTACTATGCAATTCAGGCTATTCAGGCTGGCCTTGAACTTACTATGTAGCCGAGATTGGCTCACCGCAATCCTTGTGCCTCAGCCTCCCACGAGCTGGGATTACAGGTGTATGTACCACCATACCCAGCTCCCTTCACTTTTCTTTTCTTGTTTTTTTTTTTTTGTTGTTGTTGTTGTTTGTTTTCCCCCAGACAAGGTTTCACTATATGGCGCAGCCTTGAGCTCACTTTATAGCCCAGGCAGGTCTCAAACTTCTGGCCATCCTCCTGCCTCAGCCTCCAAGTGCTGGGATTATGTACCAGGTATGTACCACCATGCCTGGTGAACTCCTTTCACTTTTTTTTTTCTTGTTCTTTTTTTTTGTACTGTGGATTGAACTCAGCCTTGTGCATGCTAAGCAAGCACTCTACCACTGAGCTACATCCTCAGCCCACTCCCTTCATTTTAAACAAAAAATATTATTCTGGGTTTCATTTTTAAAAATAAGAATGCACTTACTGGATGTAGTGCTACATGCCTGTAATCCCAGCACTTGGGAGACGAGGCAGGAGGCTCACTGAGAGTTCAAGGCCAGCAGCCTGGGCAACCTAGTGAGAGCCTATCTCAAAAAAAAAAATTGCAAACAGCGTTGAGTATTTACTGATTTTTCTTCAGTAAACTGAACTTACCAGTTCCTCAGTTCACAACGTACCATCCTCAGACACTTTACACCCTGATACCCACCGCCATTGCCCACCTCTATTCTCCTTCATCCAAGGTGCCCGCTCTGATGTACTCAGCGTGTCAGTATCTGTGTGCTCTCATGTACTTAGCATGTCAGTGTCTATGTACGTGAGTCTGGTGGCGGCATTGTGGCTCCCTCTGCTTCCTTTTCCTCTCTGTACTGATGAGATCTCTCCAAGGCCCGTATAGCTAGCCCACTGCTTCAGACTTTGTCACTGATAAGTATTTCTCACCTAATGTACTAAGAAATGTACATCCAGTTCCTGGCCTCAAGACATTCTGATATTTTCAGTAGTTAGGATTCTGTCCTCAGACAGTGACCCAAAAAAGGAACTTCTTGGCAACAGAAGGTGTGAACCTTTTTTCAAAGTACTGTCTTCCTGTCGCCTGGCCTGTCCTCTGGCCAAGTGAGCCCCAGCCTGCTGAGTGCCAGAAGCACCGTGTATACCTCGGCCCTGTGACTCAGTGTCTGCCATGAGATTTCCGAAAGGCAGCTGTGGACACCACAACCACCAGGCTCCTCCAGATCCTCAACCTGACAGCTGGTTGATTGGCCTGCTTAACAGTAAAGGCCGACCTCAGTGGCTCTTACTCAGCCCCTATCCTCCCTGCTCCTAGCTGGGGCACTGGAGTTTGTAACTGTGTGGTACATTTTTTAGACTTTTTGATGCTTAGCATCCTTATAGATGGCTCTAACATCCTGCCCAGGCACTCCGGTGCACCAGTGTGGTAAGGCTGGTCTCTGCCACGGGTTCTCCCATCTGTCCTTGTCTTTGACTTACTGACATTCCAACATAGCTGGGAACCTCCCTCAAGTCCAGGGTTTATGTACCCCACGTGGCCCCAGTAAAGGCAGTGGCTGTAAATCCCTTCTCACACCTGTGAGGATAAGTCCTTTTTGTTTCTTTTTCTTTTTAATCCTTTTATTTCATATACCTTTCAGAGGGACTTTCTGCCTAGTATAGAATGATCCTGTCATCACCAGTGGTATTGCAGATGTGAAGGCTTTAAATATCATTGTAACACAGCCAAGGAGCTCACACACACAGAGACAAGTGAACACACATGGTTTATTGTAGCTGCAGGCAGTCAACCAAGTGGTGAGGAAGATCCCTGAGAAGTGCTACACTGAGCTGAGGTCAGTGCAGAGAGCACAAGCATAAGACAGAAAGGCAGGAGCACATTCCACTGATGGGTTTGCTGTCACTGAATCCTGGGGAGAAAGCGCCAGAAGGGGATTTACAGCAGGGGCTGGCCTTAACACACTGTCTCAGCTGAGCAGGGGTCACAGCCTGTTTGGGGGTGTGAGCCATCAGAAAGACAAAGTTTTAAAAATTTACAAAGCACTTTTCAACATGATATCCTATACTTTACCTCACCTCATTTAAAACTGATCACCTCAAGGTGAAGGACAGAGCTCAGTGCCACAGGTGCCTGCCTGGCAACTGCAAGGTCCTGAGTTCAATTCCAAGTACAAAAAAGACTTCAAACTGATTACTTCAGTGCAGCTTATAAAAATTAAACCAGTGTCATAAGAAAAACAGAAAGAAATTAAAATGAAGATGAAATTTTCAGCAGGATAAAATAAGCCAAGCGTAGTGGCACACACTTACAGTACCATCACTTGAGAGGCTGAGGCAGAAGAATCCCTTGAGTGTAGGAAAAAAAGAAAAATAGGATAAAGCAAATCTTGGGAGTGAAAAAAAAAGTAAACCTTGGTTAAGCACTTTACCCATAACAACGTTCTAAAGATACGTTTTCTCACCAGAAATCAGCCTTGCAGGGCCGAAGCTGCCAGAGCACTAAGGAAAGTAAGACTTGGTGCTTGCTTCACATATCCACAGAAGCAGACACCAGAGCCCACAGTGTGGTCAGAGATTTTCTCCCCAGGGTGCAAAGCACAGTGGATCTCTACAGAAGGAATACATCCCCATGGCGCTGAAGTGTGTTCATAAGTCTTTCTTGTAGCACACATGTAATCAAGCACTGATTTGCTCATCCATTCATTCTGCGTTTATTGAGTGCCTGCCACCTGGCGCCCTGTAGTGGGGAGACTGGAGAGAAAAACAACTGACATCCCTGCACTAAAGCATGTTGCTCAATGCTGGAGACAGGCAAGCAGTCACATAGATAAAGATGAAGTCCCAGTCTAAGAAGGGACAAAGCCAGAAAGCACAGAAGAACCAGCTGAGGGGAAAGGCCCTCCTGTCCAGCCCCGTCTCAGCAGCACTGCACTCAGAGCTGCTCAGCAAGTCCTCCTCCTCTTGGAGTCTTTGTACCCAGCCCTTGATGCATCCTGTACTCCCACTCCAGCACAACTGGGGAGTCTTGCTGCTGCCCACCACCTGCCCACCCCCAACCCCCGTCCAGAGCATTGTCTCCCTCTGGACTGCACAGCGCCCTCCAAGGACTGTGCTTCCACTCTAACCCTGCAGGGTCTTCTGCAGCAGCAGAGGGGTACCTGCACCTCCAGTGCTGGCCTGTCCACGCCAGTGCATCTGAAGTCTATGGCACTGCATAGTCTGGCTCCGTCTTGCTTCCCCAGCCTTATCTTCTGACTGTCTGCTCCAGGCTCACAGCCCCACACCAACAAGCACTCAGCCCAGGACCTTTGCACTTGCCCTTCGTTCTACCTCAGGTACTCTTCCTGAGCCTCTCCATAGCTTGCTCCCTGGCTTGGTGTAGGGTTCTCTTCTAGAAGTCTTCCCTCTGTACCTGTCTGAGATTATAGCTCTCCACCTCCCCCTGTAACTCCTTGCCCCCTTTGCTTGTGAGCCTCCACACCACCTGGTGGTGTATCAGGTGTCATTCTTTCTCCCTCCCTGGTACATTAATTCTGAGAACGGACTCTGCCTTATTCCCCACTGTATCTCTGCTGTTTAGCACAGTGGCGTGCACATAGGAAGCAACTGGGAGTTACCTACTAAATACCTCAGGAAGGGGTGTTAAGGAAACTACCTGAGAGCTCAGGAAGAATGAGTATGTGAACCGAGATGAAGCAGGAGCCCAGGCCAGGCTACAGCCTAAAGAAGGCACGCAGTGTGTGCTGAGGCAGACACAGTCAGCAGCGGCCCCCACAGCACACAGGTCTGGGCTTTCAGCTCAAAGGAGCAGAAAGAGCCACTGCAGGCTCCAGGCAGAACACTAACCCGATCAGACTTGCAGTGAAACAGAAACTTGCAGCAGCCAATATATCTGGACCTCACACAGGAGTTCTTCTGTCCTAGTTAGAGACCTTCACAGTAGCAAATTCAGCAGACTACAGCAAATTGAGAGGATGTAACAGTGCCTTCTCAAGGTCTAAAATTAACCTGTGAACTAGATGTGGCACATGTCACAAGCCCAGCACTCAGGTGACAGAGGCAGGAGGATCGCTGTAAGTTCAAGACTAGCCTGGGATACACAGTAAGTCTAAGGATAGCCTCAACTACATAACAAGTAGTGACAGTGGCTTTGGAGCATTGTGATGGAGGGTATTTCTTTGTTTTATCTGACAATAGAAAGACCAGGAACCAAGTGGCTGTCAGGGTCTGCTGTCCTGACTTCCTGCTGTCATCAAGAGAGGAGTCTTATCACAAGAACTAGTGTGGAGGGTGGAGGGAGCCCCCTGATAGTTGTAAACAACACGCTTGGCCCTTGCTGACTGCTCTGCAGGGCTCCAGATCTTCAGAGAAGGAAATGTGGAAGAGCAAGTTCTGAGATTCAGCCAGATCTCTTGGGTCTTGAACTTCACACTCCCTCATCTCCCATGGACCATGCGTGACTCTGGGCACAAACATAATTGCTTATCTCTAGATAACAGCTCCGTGCATAGATCTCCAGACTCTTGGGAAGTACATCTGGGGCCATGAAGTTCCCACAACTGTAAATGGAAGGCTCCTAGGATTGTCTGACACTCTTCCCCTCTCTCCCCTATCTTGAGGGGTGAGATCATCAGCTCTAGAAGAGCTCTACAAGGACATGTTTTGTCATGGCCACTGGCAACCCTGACTCCTGTTTCTTTTTGTATTTCTGCCTCAGATATTCTCCCAGGAGTACATCAACCTCTTGCTGTCCATGTATTTCTTCGTGCTGGGGATCCTGGCCCTGTCCCACACCATCAGGTCAGAAGGCGTCTCTGTGCAGCACTTAAAGCAGCTTTCTCAGGATCCAGGACAGGGTCTTGCCCATGATCATGACCTTTTTGGTGTCATTCTGAGCCAGGTCTGAATCCTGGCTATAAAACCCAAAGAAATCTTTCCCTTGTGCCACAACATAGGTTGAGAACCACAGCATCTTGGGGCCCCAGGTTCCTTACCAGAACTGGTAAGAATATCCAGTAGTTATTCCCTAGCATCACGGTTGTTGGGAGTATTTGTTGTGAAGTAGCGTCCATTAATTGTTACAGTGCTAGGAAGAGTAATCCAGTGCCGTGAGCTGCTGTGGCCTGCCAAGTACTCAGCTCATCTCTTTAATGTTGTCTTTTTCTTGAGAGAGGCACTAGAGAGGGATGCTAGGAGTCGGGGCTCTGGAATTGCCCTATGACCATGGGCCTCAATTTCATCACAAATGTGATAGAAAATAATAGTGTTTTACTCATGCTGTTGTATGCAAAGGTTTTAGCCTGGTGTCTCGTACTTTATGTATTCAATAGCTTTTAACTTAGCTGTTAGTAGTGGTGGTATTGTGTTAACCTGCCAGTCAACCTTATATAGTTAGCTTTTGCTTTCAGTCCAGGAAATAAAACTTAGAGGGGTTAAGAAATTTACTTGGATCATACAGCTTGATAAGCAACAGAGTCAGGAATCAAACCCAAGTTTTCGTGGTCCCAGAGCCCATCTTCCCACTGCCACCCTGCTCAGATCACCACACTGGTGTCAATTCAGGGGGAATATGTGACTGATGCCACTGTTCCTTTGCTGTTGGCACCTTGTACTGCTAGAGGTATCCTGTAATCCTGTGCAGAGCAAACACCTGGCATCACTGTCCCAATTCCACTTGGGAGTTGTACCCCAGCTTGTGCCTCGGATGTCCCAAGGCATTTGCATCTGCCCCTTTGTGGTGGTACAAGCTCAGACTAAGAGCCACTGATAGACTGAGCTGACCAGTAGTGCTGGATTTGAGTTTGGCTGTAAAGGGTGGGAAGCTAGGTAGAGTGAGACCAGGCCAGGAGCTGGAAGGGCTGTGCACAGGTTGGGATCTTCCCAGAGCTGCCAAACAGCTAGAGAGAAAGCAGGATCTGCTTTAAGGCCACAAATGCCAACATAAGTATGGCCTCAGTCCCTAGGCACACCAGCAGGACAGTGGCTTGAGAGGCAGCCCAGGGACAAGGGCTGGATCTGCAGCTTTGTAATCTGTATCTATTACTCAAGCTTTCTGAGCATCAGTTTTTCCACCATAAAATGAAAGCAACCAAGCTGCTATCTGCAGTGTGCCTAGAGCCAGAGCACATGAGGGCGGTGGCCCCTGCCCAGGGTGACAGCTGTGGGCTTAAGTCAGAATTCAGTGTTGCCTTCTCCTACACTGACCCTTCACCCACAAACTCTTATTCTGAAAACTGGCACTGCCTTGTCCTGCCTACAAAAAACGAGAGCTCTTAGAAACTGGTAACATGTAGCCAGATGGTGGTAGCACAGCCCCCCACTCACAGCACACTCCCCTGCATTCACGAGCACCTGAGTAGGACTGGGACACAATCACTTCCCGGCACTGGCTCCCTTCCTTTCCCTTCTCACAGTGAACCCATCCATCCCATTTCAGCATCTGGGACATCCCCAGCCCCAAGCCCAGCCTCCCCACAGAGAATCCAGTGTATGTTGAAAGCCACTGCTAGGCCACATGCTGAGGGGCAGCACTGCATGAGAGATCTTAAGCAAAGTGTGGTGGCACATGCCTCTAATCCCAGTACTGGGGGGAAGCTGAGGCAGAAGGATCACCCAAAATTTGAGGCCAGCCTGGACTACATAATCCGTTAAGGGCCTGCCTGAACTACCTAGTAAAACCCCCATCTCAAAAAAACAAAAAAGGGGCTGGGGATTTAGCTCAGTGGAATAAGCACCTGCCTTGCAAGCAGGCAGTCATGAGTTCGATCCCCGGTACCGAGACGATTAAAAAAAAAACAACATGAGATGGCTGGGGATTTAGCTCAGTAGTGTAAGAGTCTGCCTAGCAAGTGCAAGGTCGTGAGTTCAATCCCTGGTACCAAAAAAAAAAAAAAAACCTACAAAAAGAAGAATATGAGAGATCTTCATCCAACTGCCTGATAGAGGGATTTTAAACCTCTATCATTTTGACACAAAATTTTTTTTCTACTTCCAGTAGCTGACATACATTATCCCAGGTTTCCCATAGATTAGCTAAGAAAGTTATCCTCAGGGCTGGGGATTTAGCTCAGTGGCATAAGCACCTGCCTTGCAAGCAGGCAGTCATGAGTTCAGTCTCTGGTACCGATAAAAACGAAAAAGACCAAAAAAAAATTTAAAAAAAGAAAGTTATCCTCTGACTTCAATTCATAAAAGACAATTATAAATATTATCAACAGAAAATAAAACTACAGTGGGCTGGGGTAATAGGTCAGTGTTAAAGCGCATGCTTAGTAAGTATTAGGCCCTAGGCTCAGTCCCCAGCACTCCAGAAAAAGAAAAAGGAAAGAAAACCAACAATAACTAAAACCATACATGATAAGATTTGTCAATGACTAGAAGCTTTTCTTAATAAAGTTTAGAGCAATAGAAGTTGACCTGGGAAAATTAGATCTTCTGAAAATAATGGATAGCTGTGGGCAGAGGGGTGATCATTCAGGGTCAAACTTGTCTACTGAAAAGTTAGATAGGGATCAAAAACTGTACAATGGATGAAATAGTTGTAAAATTTATATGGAACAGAACTCAATTAAAATAATTTTAGTACCAAGGCATGGTGGCACACACCTGTAATCCTAGCTCTCGGGAGGCTGAGACAGGAGGACCTCCATGAGTTCAAGGCCAGCCTGGGCTATACAGCAAGACCTTGTCTCAAAAAAACCAAATAATAATAATTACTATTTTAGTAAAGGAGGATAATTTCATCTTGTTTTTTAGAGAGCTGATCCAAAAATTAAATTGACTCTTCTAAATTTTTGTTTTGTTTTTTGAGACAGGATCTCACTATGTAACCTAGGCTAGCCTCAAGCTCATGACAGTACTCCTGCCTCACCCTCCTAAGTGCTGAGACTCCAGTGTGCACCACCATGCCAGCCCAACTCTTCTTCAATTAAATCAAGTTTCTTAGTCTTCAAAGAATAGAACATTATTAAAATTTCAATGAGCTGTTTATATCCACAAACTTAGAGCTTCCTCAAGATTCACACACAGTCTAAAACCTCAAAACAGGGACATTAAGGCTCAAAAGAGTTATGCGGCCACCAGGATTCATAGCTGGTACAGGCAGAGTGAGGTCTCAAGCCTCGTTGTGCTGAACACCCAAAGCCAGTGTTCTTTCCAGTTTGGGCTGGAGTAGAGGTGGCAGGTGGGTATGTGGGCTCAGAACTGGCAGAGTAGAGGCCTGGCCAGAGCTGCAGGTGCTGAGCTCTAAGCCAGGTCATCCCAGGCTGAATTCTTACAGATCCCCCTAATTCCATCTGCCCACCCCAGTCTACTACCATCCTCCTGAGCCCTCAAGTGTCTTTGAAAACAGACCACAGTTCAGGTTATGAGGGAAAGCAGGGGCTATGCCTGCCTTGCCATCTCTGAGCTCATACCTCATTGATGTCACACAATTTAGAGTTCAGGCTAAAAAGTAATGCACCACGAGAGAAGCCTATGGTTCTTCAACATTCTTTCTGTAAGCCCAGTGTAGGCTCAGTGTCTTACCTGCCTGCTTTCATATCCTCACATAAGCCTTTGAGACAGGTGGTATCATTATCCCTACATACAGTGAGGAGACTGAAGCCTAGGGAGACTCTGCCATGTCAGTGGCTATCCCAGACCTGTACAGGTGATACACGGCCAAACAAGGTTTCAGTGTTGGGCTGCTGGGGCTGGTAGCTGCTCCCCAGTACTCCCTTACTACCACGCCCAATCCATATGGGCCAAGATGCCTTGGTTTGCTAACCTTGTTCTGAAGATGGTCTAGAAAAGAGTATCTCTGTTCCCGTCCTGACCTGAAAGTGGGGTGTGCTACATAACCAGAGAATGCTTACCAGAGAGAATGCTTCTAGAGATGAAGCCAAGCCAGTTCTAAGCAATAGAGGCTTAGTCTAAGGAGTAAATGTGAGGACGATCTGTCTTTGAGGCTGGGGTTCATCTGGCTGACCAATTCCAGCTGCATTTGTAAAATTCCATTACCTGTTAGTGGAACTCATGGAGTTGGATGGGGGTGACTGTCAGGTTGTCGGATTTGATAAGCCTGGAAAGCAGTCCAAGAATTACTTCTTCACAAAGGACTCATCCAAGTAGTACGTGGGTCAGACTAGGGAACCCCTGACTCCCCAAAACTGTTTTATCACCAGAATACCTGCTTCTGCTTGCATTTCTTTGATGGTAATGGGGAGGCAGTATGAAATCAGTAGGAGTTCAGAAACCTAGGTTTAAATCTCAGCTTAGATATTGGCTTCTTGTGTGACCCCAGACAAAGCCCCCTGGCCCTCAGTCTCTGGTTGTAGAGATGACAGTGACAGCTGTCTCAAAGGGTTGTGTGAAGATGTGAAAGCAGACAGCCCTCTAAGGGCCTCTTTCAATATCTCTAGGCTGGGAACAGTTACACCTACCTATGAGGGCAGCTGTGAGAATACCAGTAGATAACAGCTGTTAATGGGCATTGGCGGGGTTGTTAGAGCTGTGATTGCTCTTGAGGGCTGTTTGCCAACCTGCTTTGTCTTTTTTTACAGCCCCTTCATGAATAAGTTTTTTCCAGCCAACTTCCCAAATCGACAGTACCAGCTGCTCTTCACTCAGGGCTCTGGGGAAAACAAGGAAGGTTGGTGCTTCTCACTTTCCCCTGTGTCTTTGTCTAGGGCATCTTCCCTGCACTCCCCTTTGTCTCTCCAATACTGGGTTCTCCCATAGAATAAGTGAGGAGAGAGATGGGCTGTGGAATATGGCCAGGTGTGTATCCCAGCTCTGCCACAGCATTAACATGCCTTACCTTTCTGAGCATAGAGCAGATTTTTCTGTTTTCTTTGTGTTTGGAGGAGTAGCATCTGTAAAATGCTAAAACCTCCTTTATAAACACATTTGTTAGAACCAGGAGCAAACAAGTGGAAAGTATTCAGCACACTGCCTGGCTCATATAAGCACTTAGTAAACTCTGTTATTAGTGAGCTTTTATCATGTTTTATTGCTAGTGTAATTACACTCCCATCTAAGATTTGAAAAAAGAATCCTCTTTTTAAAAAAAGTTAAAAAATAAAAACAATGGGGCTGGTGATTTAGCTCAGCGGCATAAGTGCCTGCCTTGCAAGCAGGCAGTCGTGAGTTAGATCCCTGGTACCGATAAAAAGGAAAAAAACAAAAAACAAAAAAAAAAAAAAAGAATTATAAAAAATAAAAACAATGAGGACTTGAGCCTGGAGTTAACAGTTACAGCATATAGGTTCAAATACAGTACAAGGAGGGCTGAGCCTGCCTGGCAAGTGCAAGGTCTGAGTTTAATTCTCAGAATCAAAAAAAACACAAAATACCGAGATTCTCAGTAGTTTCACCAAATAGAAAATTTTTTCTTACGCAGAATTCAAGCCAGTTGTGGTGGCACACAGCTGTAATCCCACCAATGTGGAGGCTGAGGCAGGAGAATTTTGAAACCAGCTTAGGCTACATAGTTCAAGGCCAGCTTGGACTACAAAGGGAGACCCTGTCTTCCCCCACTCCACCCCCCCAAAAAAAAAAAACACTAAAATTTTAGGCTATGAAATGCGTAAAACCTCTTAATAACACAATCTGCTTTGTCCCCACAAAGCACCAATTTTATAACTGTCCTTTGCATCTCTAGACCACCTGTGCCAAAATAAATGATTGTTTAAAACAAGGCTAACCAAAAGAAAAACTCAAACCTGTACCAGCGTCCCAGGCCCAATCTGTCACGAGCTTCACCATACTCCGGGAAAGCCCTCAGGTCCAGGATAGTGACTATAACTCCATAGCCCTGCCAGAGAAAAGGAGAGAGAAAACGATTCATTTAGCTACAAGTAAAATGAGAAAATGTGGCTGCCAGCAAATCGCCCCGGACCAGCTAGGATCCTCAGGTCGGTCCTTCAATCCTGGTCCCTGCCCATGCCCCGCCCCTCCCGCCACCCACTGGAGACGGACGGAAGCCGGGAGGAGAGCTGGCCAGGCACCCACGTGGATGCAGGGTAGCGGAAGTAGTCCTAGTTCGCCTAGCCGTAAAGCGTGCCTGGTTCCGGTTAACGTGACTTCCGGTTGAGGACAACGGCCGCAGCTGTTGGGACAGGGCCGCTTGAAACCGGAGGTCTACCGGACTCTTGCCGATTCCGCCTACCCTGTTGGCGCCCGCTTCACTTTGGATCATGTTCAAGAAATTTGACGAAAAGGAAAATGTGTCCAATTGCATCCAGTTGAAAACTTCAGTTATAAAGGGTATGAAGAACCAACTGATAGAGCAGTTTCCAGATATTGAGCCATGGCTTAACCAAATCATGCCTAAGAAAGAGCCTGTCAAAATGGTCCGATGCCATGAACATACGGAAATCCTTACGGTAAATGGAGAATTAATTTTTTTTAGACAAAGGAAAGGACCTTTTTATCCAACTCTAAGGTTACTTCACAAATACCCTTTTATCCTGCCACACCAGCAAGTTGATAAAGGAGCCATCAAATTTGTGCTAAGCGGTGCGAATATCATGTGCCCAGGTTTAACTTCTCCAGGAGCAAAGCTTTACCCTGCCGCAGTCGATACGATTGTTGCAGTCATGGCGGAAGGAAAACAGCACGCGCTGTGTATTGGAGTCATGAAGATGTCTGGAGGAGACATTGGGAAAATTAACAAAGGAATCGGCATTGAGAATATCCATTATTTAAATGATGGGCTGTGGCACATGAAGACATATAAATAAGACTTAAATGCACTTAGACTAGAGATACTGTGTTGTATATGTGTTTTTGTCTATGATAGCATTATGACAATGTCTGTTTATGCTGTATAAATTAATAGATTCTTTTTTAAAAAGTTTAAACCAGGGTGCTATTACATAGAGGACAGAACAGATTGGGGGACAAGCAGCAGTCTGCTGCACTCTGGAATCTGAAGGGAGCGACTGGACTAGGCAGCCTCTACCACCTCGCTGGGCTTCTTTATTCGGAAGCTTGGAAACTGGAAAATGGGTCTGAAGGGATGGCTACCAGAGGGCCCCTCATATGGGGAGCCTCAGAGACTCCCTCCTGCCTTTTCCTCACGCCTGCATCTCTTACCTTCTTGTACTGCTAGTGACCTAGGGCTGCCAGCAACCTTCTTGATTCCTGTGGTGGCACAGTAGGAAGATTTCGAAATAACTAGAACCTTGCTAAAGATCTGAGCTCAGTGGCAGCTGACATTCATTAAGCGCCTGCCGTGTGCCAGGCGTTGTGCTGCTTGCATCATAAGGATCGTCTCCCTGCCCCTATACCCCTGTGAGGGAGGTACTATTGCCATTTTGTACACGAGAAAACTGAAGCTCAAAGAGGGAACTGCCTCCCCCAGGCTGGTGCCTCCAAAACCAAGGACCATCTCCCACTGATCTGTATTCTCTTTAGACCTGTTTCCTCCTCTAGAAAGTTGGAGGGGTTGGGGGTGGCTCCAATGAGCTCTCTCTGTCCCTGTAGCCCATCAGTGAGACAACAGAGCCTGAATCCCTGGGCCTGTGGGCCGCTGACAGTGCCCACAGCCATGCCCTCCTCCGTCCAGGGGCTGACAGGTGGGAGGGGCAGCCCCAGCCCGGGGAGTGGGCTTACCCGGCCTCTCTGCCCAGAGATCGTCAATTATGAGTTTGACACTAAGGACCTGGTGTGCCTGGCCCTAAGCAGCATCGTTGGCGTCTGGTACCTGCTGAGGAAGGTAAGTAGCCAAGGCCTGAACAGAGGGGAGGCTGGGGTGGCAGGTGTGAGCACAGCATGAGGATCTCACTCTCACATTTCTCCAGCACTGGATTGCCAACAACCTTTTTGGCCTGGCCTTCTCACTGAATGGGGTGGAACTGCTGCATCTGAACAACGTCAGCACTGGCTGCATCCTGCTGGGTGGACTCTTCATCTACGATGTCTTCTGGGTGAGTCAGACAGATATCCGGGATGTCCAGTTTTGGGTGCCCCATCTTCCAACTCCCTTCCCGTGTTATAGGAGTCTGGGCCCATGTGTGAAACAGGTAAAGGGAGCAGGGCTCACTCAGTGCCTGGGGTCTGCTGCCCACCCCTTTATCTTCCTTGGAGGGCCCTGGCCAGGGTGTTAGGCCCATGTTTCTGTAGTAAATGAGTGCAGACTCAAGGGCCTTCTGAAGGTAGTGGTAAGATGCTGATAAAGGAGTCCTGCACAGGCACTGAACTGGAGGACAGAAGCCACCTGTGCTCTGGCTGCATACCATTTCCAGGCTAAGGAACCTAGCGTACTCATACTGAAGTATCACTGAACCTTCTCCCTAGCCAGTGATGGCCTTTTCTCCCCTAGAGGATTCTTTAGAAGTTCCTGTTACATAGAACTAGCATCAATAGCCACCTTCCCTGAACTCATTTCTGCCTGGGTCTCAGCATGCTTCCCCACTCAGCCCCTCATTTCCCACCAGACTCCTCTTTTCTCTTTCCAGGTATTTGGCACCAATGTTATGGTGACAGTGGCCAAGTCCTTTGAGGCACCAATAAAATGTGAGTGATCACCTGCCCACACCATGGGAACTCGTTGCTCCCTAGCAAGCCCATGGGCCCTGTGATCAGAACTTCTCACTTCTGTCTTCCCCACATACCTCTTTCCAAGCTGTGGTACATCTTTCCAGCTTGGCTTCCTGTTCATTGATTTATCTGCACTGCTGCTTTCTGTCTGGGGCTTTGATCACAATGCATTATGGAGTGAATTGCGCAGGAGTGGAAACAAGCACAGAGGGAAGAGTATAAACATCCTGTGTGGACCGTGAAGGGGTTGCCAAGAAGAGGAAAGCTTCATGCTGAGCGCTGAAGCGCCCTCCCTGGGACCCCTTGGCACCTGAATATCAGGTGTTCCTTGTTGCACATCTTGCATCCTGCCTTGATAGTGTTCTTCAGTGTAGCCATGACACAAAAATACTTTCTAAAAATCCAGCCACAGGGTATAGCTCAGTAGTAAAGACCTTGGATAGCATGCAAGAGGCACTGCTTCCATCCCCAGCACTGCAGAGAAAAAAAGAAAAACTACACAAAAAATGGAAAGAAGAAATGTGGGAAGACCCTATCTCCAAATAAAAAAGGTTGGAGATGTAGCTCAGTGGTGGTGGACCTTGGATTTGATCCCAGTGCAGAAAAAAGAAGGAAGGAGAGAAAGAAAATAAATTATCTTTAAACAAGGGAGAAATTTTGTTCGCTGTCTACAGCAGACCAAGAGTAGAACAGCTCAGAGGTGTGTTAATGACCCTCAGTGGAGCCGAGGTTATTTCAGAGCTTCCCAGCGTGTCTTCCTGTCCCTTAGCCCACCCCTTCCTGATACTTAAATGGGACCCTGGCTCATCAACACAGCCATGTTCAGCAGCACAAAGCAGTGGCTCTCAGGAAGTTTACGTTTTCCTCAAGTGCCCCTATAGTCTTCCTGATGTCACACTGGCCCAAATTGGGACCAAACCATGCATCGACAGGGAAGGTGGAAAAAGCATTATCAGCTTAGTGTCAGCCCTAGACTGATCACAGCTTACTCCCAGGGTACCAAGGCTTGGAGGGGGACAGAAAAGTCGAGCATGACAGCAAGGAAACAGAGGCTGGCATTAGAAAGGCAGAGGGGAGTGAGTTTGTGCTATGTCAGCATCACCCACAGCAGTGGACAATCAGGGAAATGGACTCTAGTCAAGAAATAGCTGTTTTTCTGGAGGTCTCATTCTTAACATTGCCAGGGATCAAACTCATGACCTTAAGCTTACCAGCCTTGAATTTGGGAGGGGTTCATAGGGTGTTCCATGGTTCTGTGATCTCTAAGTGAGCCCACAGGAAGACAAGTTTCTCCCAGCTTTGTCCTGAGTAAGTGTCCAAGGCCTGGTATGGCTCAGCCCACTGCCTCTTCTCTTAGGACCTAAGGACAGAGTATGACATGGGAGCCCCCAGAGCCACATGAGTGAGGGCTGCTCACTAGCACAAGGAAACAGATACTGCACAAGCCAAGTAACAGTGATATCACGTGATCTTTGGTGGATGAACTGGGAGGATTGGGAGTCTGGAGAGCCCAGCCAGGTGTCCAAACCTTCTGGGTCATGAAGAACCTAAGTAGCCCACAGGGTAGGATGAGTGCTGGGGAGCATATAGCTTCAACAGAAAGCCCAGGGCAGGAAGTGCATGGAGGCAGAGGCAGTTAAGGGAGCAGAGGCCAAACTTAGAGAAGCCAAGGATGCCATGCCTGGGAGCTTGGGCACTGCCCAGCAAGCAGCAGATGAGCTATTAGAAAGCTCTGAGCAGGGCAATGATGCTGACTTGATGGTTTCTGATACTTAAAAGCTGATTTTCTAGATTGGGAAGAAGTCTCACTCTCTTTTGCTACAACTGGGGTGCAGAAGCAAAATAACTGAAGAGCATACATAGGCTGGGCACATGCCTGTAATCCCAGCACTCAGGAGGCTGAGACAGGATTACATTGAATTTGAGCCCAGCCTAAGGTACATAGCAAGATCCCATCTCAAAAAAACAAAAGAAGAAACAGCCTACATGGTGCTGGGCACCTATAAGTTCAGCTGTTCAGAAAGTAGAGGCAAAAGGATCATTTGAGCCAGAAGTTGATTTCCAGCCTGGGAAACATTACGATCCTGCCTTTAAAATAACTATGTGAAAGTCTAGCTGTGAGGGCTTGAATCCAAAGTTCTGCCGCTTGCTATGTGAGCTCAGAAAGGAGACTTAACCTGAGGCTTGATTTCCACAGATTTGCAGTGCACACAATAGGCTGTACTGCTCTGAATTTAGTGGTACCAGGATTGAGAGGGACAGGTGAAATCTGTGAGTCCCATGCATCATACATTTGAGGTGAGAAGAAGCAGGCAAGTAGGGGCATCTGCACCATATCGGGAACACAGATTTCCCTGTACCTCTGTGCATGTGCTGCTGCTGGCCAGAGCAGAGTCACAGAACCACCCTGGGCTGTAGGAGGAGGCAGGCAGTCATCCTGGTTGATACCCACATACCTCACTGGAACCGTCCAGGGAAAGCTGCCCCACACTTTCAGGACAGGGCTCAGAATGAAAGCTTGAGACAGCTGTTAGCCATGCATGCAAGTCATCACGTGTGCATCTCAGCCCTGGGGCCTCTTGTGTTATTGTACCAATTCCACAGGTGAGAAAAATCAGGCGAGTAACCAGTACAGAGTCACATAGCAGAGCCAGACTTCAGACCCTAAAACCATGTGTAACTGTTGTCCTGCTCACAGACAGAATGATAAAATACAGTTACAGCTACCTTATGCTCTCCTTGAAACACAGGAAGGTGTTTCTGCTTGATCTGTATTTGGGCTATATCCCCAGCCCTCAAAGGTGGTGGCAGTGGTGGTGTTAGTGGTGGTGGTGGTGGTGGTGGTTTGGTACCAGGGATCGAACTTGACGACCTCACATTTGTCAAGCAGGCACTTATGCCTACTGAGCTAAACCCCTGGCCTGGTCCCAACAGACTGTGCAGCAAAATTTCACTTGAGGGCTGGGTGTGGTGGCTCACACCTGTAATCTCAGTTCCCAGGAGGATCACAATGAGAGTTCAAGGCCAGCCTGGACTACATAATTCAAGGTCTGAACTACATAGCGAGACCCTGTCTCAAACCACCATCACTACCCCCTAAAAAAGAGGATTTCACATGAGGGCTTTTAAGTAAGAAGCTTGCTGACATGTGGCCTTTTCTCCATAGCATGTACAAAAAGTGCCCTTAGACCTGGCTCAGCCTGCTTCAGAATGGCAGTGCTGGGGCTGGGGATTTAGCTCAGTGGTGTAAGCGCCTGCCTAGCAAGCATGAGGTCATGAATTCAATCCTTGGTACCAAAAACAAAAAAAAAAAACCAGAATGGCAGTGCCATGTGTCCACACTTACGGGTGTAGGGACATGGGAAACCTTTGCATGTCACTGTGTAGTTCTGTTCTCTTGTACATACTAAGCTTTTTAGTATCCCTCCCACTGAACCAAAGGGCTCTGTATGTAGCTACAGTATAAAGTCACTGAGATACAATGCTATGAGTTCTAGACACATAAGGCAGTAAACCTGAGGCCCACATGACCCTAACTGCTCCCCACTCTAGTCAGCTGTGATTCTGCAGCAGCTCATGAACATCAGTCCCATCCTCCCAAATAAACACATGGAAGTTGTGGCACAGAGTGAGACTGGAAGTCTGAGGCAGTGGGCTCAGCTGACTCCCCTCTCCTGCCTTCCTGTGCAGTGGTGTTTCCCCAGGATCTGCTGGAGAAGGGCCTTGAAGCGGACAACTTTGCCATGCTGGGACTTGGAGATGTCGTCATTCCAGGTGATTCAGCTGGGATGGGAGACTGTTGCAAGGGATGGAAATGGTATTTTCTGGAAGCAGGTGGTAGTGTGAAACAGCGGGCCTTACCCACTGGGGAAAGGAAAGAAAAGGTCAGTCCAAGGTTTGGTGAATGATTCTGCCCTGGTACACATGTGCAGCACCAGTCATGTGTTAAGCCTTGGTGCTGAGCCCTGGACAGACAGCAGTAAGCAAGAGCGTTCCCACCAGGCTTCCAGTGTAGGACGCTAAAGGCACCCAAGGCCAACACTCAGGGGGGAAAGTCTGTTCCATGACAGTCTCATACATACCCAGCTTCCCAGTGTTTCTAGGGATGCCACAGTCCCATGTCATCATCGTCCTTCCCCCACACCTCTGTGCTGAGGGCTCAAGGAGAGCACACAACATGGCAGTTGTGTGTGTAATCTGAGCAGCAGAGGAACGTGTGCACACCTGCTCTCTGCACAGGAGCTCTGCCTACAGTCCCAGCACAGGTGTCACTATGCCTGACCTTGGGCAGCTGAAGTGTGCAGACCTAGGCATAGCACACCAGGATGTGCTTGTTCTCCTGGTCTCAGGCTCAGGCAGGAATTGAAAGTAAAGCTCGGGGCTGGGGATTTAGCTCTGCGGCATAAGCGCCTGCCTTGCAAGTGTGCGGTCATGAGTTCGATCCCTGGTACCGATAAAAACGAAAAAGACCAAAAAAAAAAAAAATAAATAAAGCAAAGCTCATTAAAAGCCAAATGTTGAACTGGGGATTTAAATAAATGAAAGCCAAGTGTTTTCCAGCATAGGAAGCAGTAGCAATTGTACTCCAAAGTGATGCTTTTGCTCATGATGCTTTGCCCTCGGGATGCATGTGGGGGAAGCAGCTTGACTTCCCCTTTTTCCATTGAGGAAATACAAGTGAAGTATCTGGTAGAAATTCACCCAAAACTAACAGGGCCAGGCCACAGACCAAGTTTGCCTGGCTGCACAGTCTATATTCTAGGGGCCTGGAGTACACGTTGGTAATGGCATGTGTGCTTAGCAGGCAGCAGGCCCTGGGTTCAGTCCCTAGCACCAGCAACAACAAAATAAGGCTGCATTTGGACCTGTTCTCATGGTAGTAATGATGACAGAGATCCCTTGTGACAGCATCAGTGCCTAGTCACCTGCTGTGCGCCAGCAGCCTCATGATGGAGGGTATCTCCACCCTCCAGCTGAGGAAACCTGTTTGGAAAGATGGTTCCACTTGCCTGGGGCACAGGCTTCGTTCTAAATTTCTGTGCTGTGAAGCAGGAAGACTATTTCCAGGAGAAGGCAGGGCAGTCAGGTAGAAATGGAGTACATGATCTGTCACAGGCGCCCATGTAGCCCCCGTGTCCTTACCGGATGTAGTTCTGGGCTTGAGGTATGCACAGAACATCCCTGCATAACTGTCCCTTCCTATTCCTGGATATCTGAGTCTTCTGCAGTCACAATAAATACTGGCTGCCTGTGCCTTCACAGAGCCCCAAGGCAGCACTGATTTGAGGACCTGTTGAGCTAGAGGCTCCTGGCAGGTCTCCAGCCCCTAGGTGACTACAACAGCTGTGGAATGCAGCCACCAGGGAGCACTGACATTCCCCACTGTGATTCCAGAAGGGCAACTTTGGGCCACCTCTCTGCCCCAGTCTTCACTGAAGACAGACCCATTTCCCTTTCTGAAGTTAATTATATGAGGCTAGGACATAGCTCAGGGTTAGTTGCTTGTCTAGCTTGCACACAAGACTCTGGGTTTGATACTCTCACAAGACAATGTGCAATATGTACATGGGAGTCACCAGTTGGTGCTTCTGACCACATGGAATGTGTCTGTCCTGTATGAGCCTGAAGACTGGAGGGGGAGATCAACCCCTAGAGGATGCAGTGTGTGCTGTATACTGACTTTGTATGTCTTAGGAACTCAGGCTTCTGGAGCATCTGGACTTGGTTTTGAAGTGTGAATAGGAGTCCTAGGAATAGACAGTTAATTCCACTCTCCCCTTCCAATCAGGGAGCTGCCACAGAGGTCTTTTTCAAAGTGTTCAAGCTGTTCTACCTAGAAATCCTTCAGTGTGTCCCATACTCAGGATATGGACCCATCTCTTCCCCATGTTCCTTGGGGCCCTGCATGGCTGATCCACCCTGGCATGTAGCCTGGCTGTAGCCTCTTAGATCCTATCTTGGTTACTTTTTTCTTGTTGCTTGAACAAAATACCTAGCACCCAAAATAAAGGAAAGGTTTCTTTAGCTCACTGTTTGTGAAGGTTTCAGTCCATAATCAGTTGGCTCCATGGCAGGGTGGCATAGCACCAGGGAAACACTTCAAGGCAGTAACCAGCAAAAGCAGTCAGAACAAAAGAAGGGAGAGAAAGTCTCTTTTCCTCCTTTATATTGTACACAGACCACCACCACTACCCCCAGGACCAGTGTAGCATTTACAGAATCTCTTTGCCCTCCTCTTGCACAGGAAGGGGATGTTTACAAAGTGAGAACCCTGCTTTCCTACTGAGTCTCTTACTTAAACTTAAAACTTCTAAAGTTGATACACTATCAACCATAACAGGGCCCTCAATCACTGTTAACACCTGGAGGCCTCTTGCCTCAGGATCTTTGCACTAGCCATTCCTAGTCCCTGGCAAGTTTCATCTTAGAGTAGCTGTCCACCCTACCCAGTCCAGTGTGCCTTCTGTGATCAGGAGGCACCTTTCACAGTTAGAATCATTGATTTTTGCCAATGTCCAAACAGCTTGCTCCTTTGGCTGAGCCCTGAGCAATGAATTTGCTTACCCTGGGTCATCTGTACTTAGCACCCTAGTGCTTGGCAGGCTAAGTAAGACCCAGTGTGATTCAGTGGTGCTGAGATGCCTAGTCAGGGCACTGCCAGGGCCAAAGCAGTATCCCAGGCTTTCCCACTGATGTGGGTGGAGAACCAGAATTTCTGCTGTCACTTGGCAGCATGGGCCATGCCCAGAGCCCAAATGGTTCCTCTGTGACTACGAACAGCAGCTGGGGGCAGAACCAGGCTCACAGAGTTCACCAACCTGTTCTTCCCTGTCCTTGCTAACTCAGCTCTCTCTACACAGGGATCTTCATTGCCTTGCTGCTGCGTTTTGACATCAGGTAAGCAAGCAAGGCATTGCCCTGCCAGGCTTCTCCTGAGTTCTCCAGCAGCCTTCAGTTCCCCAGCAGAGCTGCCTCGGGGAGCAGACCCTCCCGCTCACAGCAGCCAGAGCCACTTCATCTCATCTTGTCTGCATTCGGAAGGGCTAAGTATTCCAAGAGCCTGTGGCCGAAAAAATTGAGAATCAGAAGCAAGAGAATGAACTCTTTAAGAAGTGCTGGTGGTACTTGCAGTACTCTGTGTGCCTTTGCCAAGTGACCTGGCCCTTGTGAGCCTTGGGTTTCTTGTCCTTAAGCCCGGGGCCAGCAGGGGCTCCCCCCTTGAAATTACATAGTGGGCTGAGCACAGTCAAGCCCTTGTCCAGGGAGCAGAATCTTTATCACCCTTGCTTACCAGCCATGGTCAGCTGTATCCCCTGCCCTTTCTTTGCTCTTTTTTGATGTATTGTAAAAATGGGCCACAAGTGAGAGAAAGTTAGCTTGAATCCCCATTCAGAAAAGATGGCATTGGATGAGGGCACTGTGGCTATGCCCTTGTTAATGCTGTCTTCCTTGCCAGGAATTTTTGTGGGATTGTGCTCCTTTGATGTGGTTTGTGAGCTTTTTCATGCCCAATAATTACAAAAACAGTATAGTATTGAGAGCAATAAGGATCTCAGTACTAGTATTGTTGGAGTTGAAGTCCAGGTTAAGGACTAGGGGTGTAGAGCAGCACCCCCCAGTGGTAAGAGACAAAACTCACAAAAGTCCCCAGGTTCTTTAGCTGCAGGCAGATTCAGCAGCGCCAGGTCCCCAAAGACAGAACTCTGTCCTGAAGGGGATTCACAGGATAAATGGGCCCTTTGGAATGTCCCAGAATCCATGCCAAGTTCCCAAAGGGATGTGGTTATACCTGAGCCCTCACAGGAGGACAGCTCTCAAGCCTTGGAAGCAGCCAGGGCATGGAGAGGAGAGGGTCAGAAGTCCTCAGTCATTCCGCAAGTGTTAACAGAGCTATAGTGCTCAGTGGCATAGACCAGGAGCTCTCAGAGGTTGTGAGTGACATCATAAAGGGAAGTCAGGTCGGAGCAGTGCCAGCTTGCATGTGATGCATGTGTTCTGAAGCTGGTCTCTGATGAGTCACCTCCAGGAAGCCACAGGCATGCAAGGCATTTGTACCCACACAGGGCTACTGAACTGCTACAGCCACTGTTTGAAGGAATGACCTGCCTTTGCAGTTCCTGTCTTGTTTCTCAAACATCTTTGATCTCTATCAGATTCACTCCAGCTCCTGAGCCTTTCCCCAGATTTACTCTGCCACTCTCTGGGGGGTACTTTGCTCCTCCCCACACACACAAGCTTTCCAGATGATTTCTATGCTGTCCAAAGTTTCAGTCCCTGTTCTAATTATAGCATTTGATATTCACAGCCACCTGCAAGGTGGACATAGTTTCCCAGTCTTGCAGATGTTTAAAACAGGTTGAGACAAGTAAGGTGACAGGTCCAGAGAGTCACAGCTGGGGCAGTAGCAGTGCACTCCCATCTGACTCCCGGCCCAGCAGGCTCCTTCACCCCTGCCCCTTCCCTGCAGGCTCTCCCAGCTCCCTCCTTACAAGGCTGCAGCTGCTACTCCAGGCCCTGCATCTCACCCTCCTCTTTCTTCCCTCGCCATCCCTGCAGCTTGAAGAAAAACACCCATACCTACTTCTACACCAGCTTTGCAGCCTACATCTTCGGCCTGGGCCTTACCATCTTCATCATGCACATCTTCAAACACGCCCAGGTGAGCAGAACATATGTGGCATGTCAGGAAGGCTTCCCCACAGAAGCCTCTTACAAAGGGTTTATCTGTCACACAAGCAATCAGAGGCAACTGCTCCCAGTAGCATCAGAGCAACCATGTCTGATTGTCCTGCCTTGCACTCGCAGTTACAGGGTGACTGCAAGTGCTCCGGGTGACACAGGCACATTAGAGCAAGGAGAAAAAAGCACAGCAGCGATACTCTTTCCTGCATCCAGATTGCGGGAACTTTCCCACAACCTTCACAGCAAGTTTTTGCCTGTATCAGCCCAGTAGATTAGTGTCACCTGGCTCGCCACCTGAGCACAGGGAGCAGAGAGCCTGGAGAAGAGGCTCAGCTTCCAAGCTCAGTAGTGGGGGCTGGTGGAGCAGGACGGGCTGAGTATTGGGTGCTTCAGCCTAGCATCCACACACAGACAGTGTTATAATGTAGAGAGAGGCCTCCCTTGCCCTGTGCTGTGGGGCAAGCCAGGGTCCTACTGCCTGGGCCTGGGTTCTGAGCTGCCATGACCGGGTGTCAGTGTGGCCAGGAGAGGGCAGCAGAGCAAACAGGCTCAGCCCTGCAGGCAGGAGCTTGCTGGCTCTGCTCACAAGGGTTCCTGTGAAAGGTGAGGTGAATGTGTCCAGGCCTGGGTAAGACTCAGCCATAGAAGAGACAGCATAGGGCAGAGGGAACCCCATCCACTGCTGAGAGTATGAGCAGGTTTCAAAATGACACTTAGTTGCTTTCCTAGGTCATTAATAAAAACAAAAGGACCAGCATGGTGGCCCATGCTGTAGTCTAGCTGCTCAGGAGGTAAAGGCAGGATTGTGTGTTCAAGCCCAGCCTGAACAACTTAGCAAGACCCTGTCTCAAAAAGGACTAGATGTGGCTTAGACCTGGGAGGGAGGGGATTAAAAGCTGGATGTGGTAGTACGCATCTGTAATTTCAAACAGTCTAGGAGGCTGAGTCAGGAAAATCCTAAACTGACACCCGGTCTGGGCAGTTTAGCAACTTAGATCCATCTCAAATTATCAAAAAAAAATTTTTTTTGTCTTTTTCCTTTTTATCAGTACTGGGGATCAAACCCACGACTATCTGCTTGCAAGGCAGGCGCTTATGCCGTTGAGCTAAATCCCCAGCCCCAAATTATCAAAATTTTAAAACTAGTTTGGTAAAGGGATGAGGTAAATAACAGCCACTTGGGGGTGGTTTGAGGATAAAAGGAATTGATATGAGTACCCTGAACTACGCCTGACCCAGTTAATATTGCCTGTCTTTACAGTACACTCCCCTCCCCTTAAACAGGTTTGCTTTCCATGGCTTTGGTTACCCACAGCTCCAGATTTATTTCTTTGTTTGTTTGTTTTTAGTTTTTTTGGTTTTGGGAGGTTTTTTGTCACTGTGTGATTCAGGTTGGCTTTGAACTCACTGTGTAGCCTACTCAGACCTTGAACTCACTGTAGTCCTCCTGACTCAGCCTCCTGAGTGCTGGGATTTACAGACATGCACCACCATGGCCCTAAAATATTACATACAGGATTTCAGAACTAAACAGTTTACACTGTATGCTATTCGAATGTCATGGAGAAATCTCTCACTGCCATGTAAACTATCACTCTGCTCAGCACAGCCACCCTGTGTATACTACTGGCCCAGTAGTCATTTTGCAGCCTTCATTATTAAATAGAGCTCAGCACCATTGTAATGTCAGGCACCAGTGGGGGAAAGGGGTGGGTACCGTTGCATTGTCCAAGTCTCCTTCCCCACACCCCAGGGCCCAGCCACAGAGGAAATGCCTTTGTTGGTTTAGGTTTTTGGGTTTTTTGGTTTGGTTTGGTTTGGTTTTTTTGAGACAAAGTTTCACTAGCAGCTCACACTGGCCTTAACCTCACTTTGTGGCCCAAACTTGTTATCCTCCTGCCTCAGCTTCCAACTTCCAGGATTTCAGGCATGTACCACCATGTCCTGCTTCTTTGTGTTTGTTTTGTTTTGTTTTGTTTGTTGTGGAACTAGGGATTGAACCCAGGGCCTTAACAGTGAGCTATGTCCCCAGAAAGTTGCCCAGGCTGGAGTCTAGCTTGACAGTCCTCTTGCATTTGAGGCCAGCCTGAACTATATAGCTAGATCCTATCTTTAAAAAAGAAAAAGAAAATACAAACTGAGAGACAAAATTACAAAATGTGGTTTTTTTAAAAAAAAATCACAAGAACTGTTTGTCGATTGTTTTGTACTAAATAAATATTTACAGAATATCCAAAGCCCCCTAGCTCATCAGTGCAAAAACCAAGAACCCTAGCAGAACCACCTCTCAGTTCTGCTCAAAGAACCCTGGGTGCTGTACTATTCAAGTGACACAAATTTGGCAAGAGAGATGGGAAGACAGATTCCTTGGGTTGAGGAACTATAGTAGTTTAGGGCTCAGGGGATGTGTGTAGCCCAGAGCCTTCTCTGGGCAGCCACCAGGTGGCAGGCTCACCTGCGTGGTTTGACTTAGAGGATTCCATTCCAAGCTCCAGGCAGGATTTGCAGAGAGAGCAAGGCAAGACAGGTGGTCCTTTGTGGGACACAGCAGCCTCGGAGAAAAAGGAGACTTTGGTAGGTCACATGGCAAGTCAGGATGGGCCCCACTAGAGCCCTGGACTCGGGACTCCTGATTGCTGGCCCCAGCAGCCTGTTATCCAAGTGGCCTTCACTGAAAGTCCTCCTCGGGGCAGTGACCAGTGTCCAGCAATGCTCCAGTAATGGTCATTTCTGTGCCCTGTCCCAGCCTCTTTTAGGAACTGCTCCAAGCCAGCCCCTTACAACAGCCTTTAGAAATGACCAAGGAGCCAAGCATGGTGGCACATACCAGTAATCCCAGCATTCAGGCAGCTAAGGCAGGAGGGTCAACGCAAATTCAAGGTCATCCTGGGCTACATGGTGAGACCCTGTCTAATGTCAACGGTGCCTTCCATTACAACAGCCCACACTGCTGAATAAAAACGACAGGGACAGAGTCCTCCTTATAAGGAAAGAGCAGCAAGCTCAGAAGGGAAGTAGTTTAGCTATGCTCAGAGCAAAGTCAAGTCCCAGTGCAGTCCAGAGTCCCAGACCCATCTCACTGCCCTCAGCCATACATCTGCATCACTACCTCCTTGGCACTGACTGTGTGGCAAGGGACCCTGGTTCCTTGAGAAGAAAATGATACAGTATGCATCCCTCTGATAGCTAATTCACTGGCTCCCAAAGGCATCCTTCCTGAGCCCCTGGAGCCCCTCTATGTCTGCACCTCTGGTGATGTGAGGCAAGCTGCAAGGGGAGCCCCAAATGCCTGTTTCCCACCTGGAGACCTGTTCTGTGCCCAGAGTGGCTTTATGTAAAGGCAAAGCTGGGGCCCAACTGCAGTTTGGGGCAGGTTCTTCTCCCTCAGATCCTGTTTGCTCATCTGTTAAATAAGCCAGAAGGGACCTCTGGTGTGTGTGGGCGGGTGTGGGCATGTGCATGTTGCCGGAGGTTGGACCTAGAGCATTGCTAGGCAAGTGTTGTTCCCCTGAACTGTGCTCAGCCCAGGCCCTTTCTCTAGCTTCTTCATTTGGAATCTTATAAGGAGTATACCTTTTCCTTCAAGTTCTATTTTGGTTCCTCCTCATAGGTTTTGGATGGGTCTTTGTTGTTCGGTTTTGTTCCGTTTCGTTTCCAGTACTGGGGATGGAACCCGGGACCTTCCTAATGAGCTACATCCTCAGCCCTTCCTTCCTTACTTTACTTTTTTTTTTTTGGTCTTTTTGTCTCGCTATGCAGGCTGATCTTAAGCTCACTTTATAGCCCAGGCTGGTCTTGAATTTGCAACAATCCTCTTGCCTCAGCCTTCCAAGTGCTAGGATTACAGGTGTGAGCCACCACACCTGGCTACCCTTACTTTTTTTTTTTTGGAGACAGGATCTCTATGCAGTTCAGGCTGGCCTTGAGCTCACTTTGTAGCCAGGTTGGTCTCACTTGCAGTGATCAGCCTCCCAAGTGCTGGGATTACAGACATGAGCCACCACACTTGGCTACACTTACTACTTTTTTTTTTTTTTTTTTTTTTGAGACGGGGGTCTCACTATGCAGTTCAGGCTGGCCTTGAGCTCACTTTGTAGCCCAGGCTAGTCTCGAACTCGCAACGATCCTCCACCTCAGCCTCCCAAATGCTGGGATTATAAGTGTGAGCCACCATATCCAGCTACACTTACTATTTTTTAAAATAAGGAGTAAGTGGCTGAGTTGCCCAGGCTGGCCTCAAAGTTGCCATTCTCCTGCCTCAACCTTCCAAGTGCTGGGATCACAGGCCCACATGACCACACCCTGCTTCCTTGTTTTGTTGGAGGTGGTGGTGGTAGTGGTGGTGATCTATTTTGTTGTTGTTGTTGTTGTTTTGTCTTTTTCATTTTTATCGGTACCGGGGATCGAACTCACGACCGCTTGCTTACAAGGCAGGTGCTTATGCCGCTGAGCTAAATCCCCAGCCCTTGTTGTTGTTATTTTGCCCTTGGCCTAAAGCTTAGGTGGTAGTGATGCCCTGCATCCTCCAGCATACTGTTTGTTATCACTGAAAGTTCTAATAGTTCTGCGTCACTGGCCTAGACAAATAGCAGAGACCCAGTGCCAATGGGAAAAGCACAGCTGCCATGGTCAAATCCTAGCTCATCCACCCAAGATAACTTGTGGCAAGTTATATAACTATATAACTTGTGGCAAGTTAGTTCCCCTCTCTGTCTCAGTGGCATCATCTATAGAATCCAGCCCCTAATACTTTGGGCATACTATGTACAATAATAATCTTTATAAAGTAGCATGGTTCACCCAGATAGGTGCCAAAAAAATGATCAGAAGACCAGGCGTTGGTGTGCATAGGAAAGCTGGGTGTGTGCTCTGGCCACAAGCTCACTTTGCACTAAGAATGATGTCTCCTCCTCATACCTGGGCAGTCACTTCGTGAATACTCGTGAAGCAGCAGTCTTGCAGTACTTTTTACCAGTGCTCACCGGCTACAGGGTCCTGCCCTGACTGTGTGCACTGTCCATCAGCCTGCACTGGTGTCCCTTTCAAGCTGCCAGGGAATGTCAGGAGGTTACAGGGGGCCCTGAGGGTGTGCCCCAAGAAGCTGATGTAGCAGCAGAGCTGAGTCCAAAGGAAGGTGAAGCCAGGCAAGGGGAGACAAGAAGCCCAAGCTGCAGACACTGCATACATGGCAGCGGCAGTGTCTCTCGGAGCTTTTGCTGGCCTGTGAGCATCCTGCCCCAGGCCCTGGCCACTGTGTCCAGGTGATTCAGATGCTGTGGTCAGAGTCCTGAGAACCCTGGAGAACCCTAAATCTGTGTGTTCTTAGGTTTGGGTTTCCTGTGCTCCCTCTCAGGGATAAGAGCCCAGTCCTGGGATTCAGGCACGCTGGGCTCTCATCCAGCCCCTGAGTTGCTCTATGAACTGGACCAGAGCTGTCCCTTAGTCACGCTCAGAGGCCTGGGATGCTGGGGGTGCCCTGGGCAGGTCCCCTGCCTAGCACCACCTTACTGGCCTCTGTCCTCTCACAGCCTGCCCTCCTGTACCTGGTTCCTGCCTGCATCGGCTTTCCCGTCCTGGTGGCTCTGGCAAAAGGAGAAGTGACAGAGATGTTCAGGTAAAGCAGGATAGGGCAGGCATACACACGGGCCAGGTGCACCTGCGGGCAGCCAGGGGAGCCTGCAGGGTGTTTGTAGACATCTGGGGGACGTCATCCCTCCACCTGTGCCACCCCTTGCCCTCTGCCAACACCTGGTTCTCGGCCTGTGTGCACCAGTGAGAACCTTTCTCCGGGACAGAAACCTGAGGAGGGCAAGGCCTGGGGCTCCCACAGCCCCACCCTACATGCCAGCTGGGTCCTCAGAGGGGAACGGCTGGTGTGGGCTGTTTTCTGGGTTCCCTGCTTCTGGCGCCTTGATTCTGCCCTAGGGTGACTAGAGGTGTGTCTGTGTCTCTCCCACGCCAGACTCACTCAAGAGTGAGCGGATGGGGTCATGGGGAAGAAAGTGCCCTCAGAAGTCACGTGTCAGTCCCTGCTCAGCCACCTCTGTGGCCATAACCATGGCTCAGTGCTTTCTCCCCATGTTCGCCTCAGTCACACACACCATTTCTGCACGGCCATCCCCACAGCTGCCACGCCTTGTACACAGTCCCACCCCTACCCCAAGGCCTGCGTGACTCGGGCAGGTGTCTACCCCCCAGCACCACCAACCCCACCCACCTGCCAGGGACCTAGAAATAGCTGCCAACTGTGATTAGAGCTGCCCACTCGGGGGCCTCTCCTCAGCGCCACCTGCCTGGCCTCCAAGTTGCCCCTCAAGCGTCTGCCAGGGCCTTCGGTGCACCTGGCTGCCCGTAGGGCAGTCTGTGACTCACCCTTCCCCGACCTGCCTCTGCCCTCCCTGTCCTCCTTGTAGAGTCCCCAGCTCCCGCCTGCCACCCCATAGCCCAACCTGAAAAAGCCATGCCATCTCTGAGGCGAGTGGGATGCAGGTTGAACTTGAGTATAGGTCTGGGGTAACTGGAGTGGGCATAGCACCTGTGCCCTGAGCTCAGCACCTGTTCTCACCCTCCTGCTGGCTCACCCTGCCCACTATGGGGGTGAGGGGGAATAGCCAGGGCACAAAGTGCCTCCATTTCACCGTTGTGTGCTTGGTTTCCCTAAATGCTCTGCTGCCGAGCTCCCCACCCCCACTTTAGGTAAAGGTGAGAAGGCAGGTGGTCTCGCTCTCTCTCCTTGTGTCCTCTCTCCCTGATTCTCCACTTTACTTTTTGCTTTTCTTTCTCTTTCCTGGCATTCCCCTTTTTAAAATTCACTCTCAGTTATTTTTGAATGTGTATCACATTAATCTTGTTCAGAATTCATTAGCCAAGAAAAGGAAGCCAGGCGTGGTGGCTGCTGCCTGTAATTCCAGCACTCAAGAAGCTGAGGCAGGAGAATCATTGCAAATTTGAGACCAGCCTAGGCTACAAAGTGAGCTCAAGGCCAGCCTGAACTGCACAGTGAAACCGTCTCTAAAAGACCAAAAGAAAAAGAAAAGGGGAGCACTTGGAGCCCAGCCCTGGAGGGGCCAGCTCCTAAAGAGGCTGGGAGCCACCCGTGCTGGACTGCGGACTGCATGTACAGACTTCACACTGACAGGGCTCCCGAGCCTTCTGCTGTTTGAGTTTTTATAGGGTTGTTTTTTTTGGTTTTTTTTTTTTTTTTTTTTTTTGGTTTTTTTTTGTTTTTTTTTCTTTTTGATTTTGGTACCAGGGATCAAACTCACAACCTTGCATTTGCCAAGCAGGCGCCTATGCCGCTAAGCTAAATCCCCAGCTCTTTTCTGTTGTTTTTTACAGGACTAGGGATCAAACCTGGGTTTGATCCACCTCTGTGGCCATAACCATGGTTCAGTGCTTTCTCCCCATGTTTGCCTCAGGGTGTCACAGAGCTAGATACATACTCTGCCTCTGAGCTATACTCCAGCCCCTTTTTCCACAAAACAGTGTCCTGGAGATGCCTGTGTAATAGCATCACGTGCTCAGGGCCTCCGTGTGCTGCCCAGCTGCATGTGGAGCTGCATCTTCTCTTTTTTCCCAAGTAATCCCAGCTCCTTTCCACAAAATCTGGAAGTGCAGAGCTGGATAAAATAAAATGCTGTGCTCCCTGCTCCTGGGAAGGAAGTCTCTGTCCTCCTTTAGTCTTTCCCTTTCCATTTCTTTGTTCTGTCTCCATCTCTGTCTCTCACACAGCTACGAGTCCTCAGCGGAAATCCTGCCTCATACCCCGAGGCTCACCCACTTCCCCACAGTTTCGGGCTCCCCTGCCAGCCTGGCCGACTCCATGCAACAGAAGCTAGCTGGGCCTCGTCGCCGGCGCCCGCAGAATCCCAGCGCCATGTAATGCCCAGCGGGTGTCCACCTGCCCGCTCCCCCCCACTGCCCTGGGCCCAAGGTAGGGCACATGCTCAGTCCAGGAAGGGCAGGGAGCAATGCCAGGGTGGGCAGCAGGAGGTGGCTCCTGTCGGCTCCACAGCAGCAGAGCTCATGTCCCCAGCCCCAGGCACAGGAGCAGTGCTGCCCAGAACCCCAGTTGGTCCCCAGTGATGTGGGGCTCTATGGAGGGTGGGTGCAAGGGACTGTTTCCTGTGTATATGCAACCCTGGGCAACGCACTTCTTTCCAAGCCTTTCTTTCTTCATTTGTAAGTGGGCACATTGCTGCCTCAGGTTGATCTGGTGAGGAAATGTGGGTATTGTCCTTGGTGTGAACACAGTTGCTCAATAAGTGAAGCCCATGGTAAGAGCCAGGTGTCCATCTTCAGCAGCACTGTGCCACTTGCCAGGGTTCACGCCCCCGGCCTGGGTGGAGCTGTCTGATGCCTGCCACATACCCTGGGTAGCAGCCCATCTCCCAGAGCCTCAGCCTGGCCGCCCTTTTCTGTCCCAGAAGCGTAAAATTGATCCATACAAGCCCAGGCCCAGCCTCTCCCATCTGTTGCTGCCTTCACTGCCTCTTGGCACCAGCAGCACAGGAAAGCAGGGCTGGTGTGCCTCGTAAGTCCAGGGACTTTCTTGGGGTTATCGAGGGGCAGGGGCAACACAGATCGTGCCTCTTCCTCCTCTAAGCATGTTTTTGTTGTTTGTTCTCCTGTCAGTTATGAGGAATCAAATCCTAAAGATCCAGCAGCAGTGACAGAGTCCAAAGAGGCAACAGAGGCGTCAGCATCGAAGGGCCTGGAGAAGAAGGAAAAATGATGCCGCTGGTGCTTTGAGACCAACCAGACAGGCGCAAGATGGACATGCAGGGCAGGGCTGGACAGGAAGCTGATGACCGCTCCAGGACTGGAGAGCACCAGCAGGATTCCTCCATGGCCTCTGTTTCCCTTTGTCCTGTCTCTGGCCTCTCTGCTCCTCCTCAGCCCTACAGGCAAGGGAAACCCCAGCTTCCTCCCTCCCCAGGAGCCAGGTGGAACACTGGGTATGATTTTTAGATTTTTGTATTGTGGACTGACTTTGCCTCGTATTAAAACTCATCCCATGGCCAGCCAGGCTGCTGTGCTCCTGGAGCCTGGAAGCTTCTCTGTGTACGTGCCCTGGTTCTTGTGCTGCGTTTATTAGGTTTGTCCTGCCACCCAGTAACTCATGAAGCTCCCTTCCTGAGTACACACTGCAGTGCCAGGCCAGCTCACACCCAAAACGCCCAGTGGCTACCACAGCACCCCACAAGTCCTCCCTGGCCTTGTTTTCCTCACCACTTTCCAATACTGGGAGGCAGTGAGGGTGTTGGGCAAGTGCTTGCTGTGCCCTGCTCCCCTTGTGTAAGGTAGAAAGCCAGAGAACTACCTGGCTCAGCAAGGGACCTGTAACTCCATACAGCAGCTCCCCAGGTCCCAGACCCAGGTAGCTACAGCTGGAGAGGTCCTGGGCTTTGCGCTGCCCGGGAGATCAAGAGCCCTCTTTCATTCTGCCCTCTTTCATCCTGGGGATTCTGGGGTTCTTCCTGAAATGAAAGTTGCATAGCCAGTTATCACATAAGGGCTAGGCCCTTAAATGAGTGGGGCAGGACATGTCTGGGAGCTGGAGATCCAGGACCAGTTCCCCAAACCTCTGGCCCACAAGAGTACCCCCAGGCAGAGAAGGTGTAAGTGACCACCGCCTTGACCATCTGCATGAGGTGGGGTCACTGAGGGCAAGATTCTAGCCCATCTGAGGGCTCCCCCCAATGCCACAGGTTCAACAGCAAAGATAAAGGTGTCAGTGGCTTCCAGACAATTTAGAGGTGGCCAGAGGTCATCTGATCAGAGCCTCAGGAGTTAGGGTGTGCTCTCTGGAGTTGTCTCACTAAGTGTTGATTTAACCCAAGCATCACTCTTAGGCTGTAGATACCACCATTAGCTTGTGAGCATGAGGGAATGGAGGCAGCTTGCCTATGGACATAGGCCTGAGGAAGTGCCTAAGCCCTGCCCAGCTGCTCTCCTGACCCCCAGCCCTAGCCCCTGTGTGCAGGACCTCTCAGAGCCAGCCACCCCATTGCTCTGGGCCCAGAAGTCAGAAAGAAAGGAAGGCCAGCGACTCTCAACAGCCTCCCCCAGCCAGGATGTCCTTTCAGGGGCTTCTTGGATCTCTACAGATTGCAGCCCCTCCAGGGCAAGGCCACGTGCTTCTGGAACAAAGCCCCTCTGAGAGTGGCAGATGGGGCAGGCGGCCCAGGCACACAGTGTGGTTGGCTCTGTGGCCCAGGGCCCACAAAGGTCTTATTGAGCACTACCGGCCCCCGGCAGAGGCTGAGGTGGCAGTGGCGCCGGGCGCCTGCCACCTAATGACCGTCCTGGCCTGGCCAGATGTTCCACAGACCTCGGCAGCGCTGATCAGGGCTGCCCGGCCAGCCGGCACCGCAGAAGCCACTCCAGTTCCAATTAACCAGCTTCAGCTGAGCAAACAGCGGGCAGCAGGGCCCATCCCGGGCGGTAGGCCCGGCCGGCAGAGCCTCTGAGTCTAGACTCCAGATGTGAACTGCCACCGCCTGAGACTCATGGAAAAATGGCACCAGGCCGGGCACGGATTGGGTCTTCATACTGGGAGAAGGGTGGGTGTTGGGCAGGGCCCCAGGTAGGCCTGCTGCCAGCCTCACCCTGGGGTGGAGGCTGATACTTGGGAGGTTGCTGTCAAACCCCAAGGACTTGCTCCCTATTTGTTGTGTCCCTCTGTTCCTCAGTCTCCCCTGGGTGCAACACATGGAGGTAGGGGGTCCCATGGGAAAAACCAACTGCTGAGCCCCAGTGGATTTAGTATGTAACAAAAATATAACCATCTTTTTGCTTATTTTAGAAACATTTAATCTTCGTAATTGCCATTTGAGGTATCAAATGTCATTTTTACAGATAAGGAAACTGAGGCAGAAGGGTCTTAACTGCCCAGGGTGCTTTTCTTGGAGTGGAGTGGGGTTTTTTAGGTTTTTTTTTTTTTTTTTTTTTTTTTTTTTTTTTTTTTTGAGATGGTCTCACTGTAGTTCAGGCTAGCTTTAAACTATGTAGTCCCGGGTCTGAGGATATAGTTCAGTAGCACAGTGCCTGCCTGACAAGTACAAGGCCCTGAGTTCAATTCCTAGTACAAAAACAACCACATAAATTATGTATTCCATGCTGGCCTCAAATTCATGGCAGTTTTCCTGCTTCAGCCTCCAGAGCACTATATTACTAGAATGTGCCACTGTACCTGACTTGGTTTTGGTTTTTTGAGACAGGGTCTGGCTGTATAGTCCAAGCTGGCTTCAACTTGCTGCAGTCCTCCTGCCTCAGCCTCTTGAGTGCTGGGAATATAGGCGCACACCACTGTATCAGATTCCTAAGAGGCATTCGAACCCTGAGCCCTTGGCTTCCATTAGGGATTCTGATTCCTGCATCCATTCCTTGGGGGCTGTGTTGAGTCTGTAGAGCTGACTTCCCAGTGTGACTGAACACCCACCACTCACCTGTTTTTTCTGGCCAAAGGTAAGAGCCTCCCCAAAAGGCCAGTCCAGCTTCCACGGGGAAAACTCTGAGGCCTCCTTGGGCCTCATGTTAAGACATCAGTCAAGTCAGTCGCTCCAAACACAACAGGGAACCCAAAGTCATAAAAGCCCACTCGCTGCAACCTCTTTTATGCGCTTTGCAGACAAGGTCTCGTGTAGTTTAGGCCAGTATCAAACTGGTGATCCTCCTGCCTCAGCCTCCCGAGTGTTGGATCTGTACAGATGTGTGTCATCATCCCCGGCTCCCAACCTAACATTTTGCTCCAGAGAAAAGCAGTCAACTAAATCGCGGTCAAGTCGAGGTGCGACTTCGCGCAGGAGAGGTGTCCCGGGTTCCCATGGCTCTGTCTACGTCCTGAGGGGCAGAGCGACAGCCAGGCAAGTCCAGGGGAACACAGTTCTACTGACCTTGCACAAAGCCGTAAAGTAAGCCCCCCCGCCCAAAAAAGCGCGGCCCGGCCCGCGGGTCCCAGGAGACGGGTCGCACGCACGGCCTCCCTCCCGCTCCAGCCCGGCCACCGGGGCGGAGGAGCCTGCATCCTGCCGGGCGGGCGCCTCAGGAAGGGCCACGAGAGCGGGAAGGAAAGCGCCACCTCCCGCCCCCGCCGCGGCCACACCTGGGCTCTCCGGGCGGGCAGGGGGCGGCCGGCGCCTGGCTCCAGCGAGTCTGGGCCGCCTCCTCGCGCGCCAGACGGGCCGGCCGGCCTCGCGGTGACGCGGGCAGCAAAGGCGGCCTGGCTGCAGGCGGGGCGGGGCGGGGCGGGGCCTGGAGGGCGGGGCGGGGCCTTCTGTGCGCCGCGAGGTCCCGCCCCCGCCCCACCCCCTGCTGCAGTTGTAGCGGTGCGCGGCCTCGCTGGCCTTCCCTGGGCCTGTGCCTTGCTTCTGTGCGCCTCAGTTTCCAACCTCTAAAACGAGGCTGCACAGCTCAGCTCCTAGCGCTGTGTGGCCTCAGGGAGGTTTCTTCCCCTGCTGTTCTTCGGTGTTCTCACTTGGGCCAGGGAGGATCAGCTGTACCTCCCAGCCACAAGCAGTCTGGGGGGGGGGGGGGGTATCGTCCTTTCCTCTCCCACTGTAGCCCCACGCCCGACCGGGCCCCCAAACGTGCTGCCACCTAGAGGGCCCAGGGCCCAGGGCAACCCTGTGGCCTGGAGTGTTCTCCGCACCAAGGCCAGTGCTCTTCCTGCTCTAAGCTCCCTTTTCCTCTTCAGCTGGCGGGCGAAATGCGCCCGAGCATTGAGCCGAATGATGCGCAGAAAGTGCGCGCAGAGTCCTCAGGAGGTGAGGTAGACGTGAGGCAGCAGTGCTAGTCGGGAGCCATGGCACAGGCTTGTAATCCCAGGAAGCTGAGGCAAGAGGAGCTGGACTTCATCCTGAAGACAACCAGAGCCACGGAAGGGCTCACAGAAAGTCAGTTTTCTGAGACAGTAGCTCTCTGTGCAGTTTGAGCTGTCCTTGAACTCATTATGTAGGCCAAGCTGGCATTGAACTCAGTGATCCTCCTGAATGGTAAGATTATGAGCATGCACCATGTCTGACATTTTTCAGCATTAAACACAGAGAAGGGCCAGGCCCGGTGCACCAGCCCAGGCCACTCACACACACTCGTCCATGGAGGCAACCCCGGGGTATTGGATAACACTTGGAAGCCTAGCCGGGATCAGCATGGAAGGAGGTCTCTAACTACTATTAGGCTTCACTGTGTGCCCCGCAGGGCTCCAAAATCCTCCAGTGCTTTACCTCCCAGCCTCACCTCTCCCACTGTGGTGAGTCTCATTATACAGATGGGGAAATAAAGGCATAAAAGTCAAGGCCACACAGCAATCAAGAGCTTTTCCTCCCCACACCTAGATGTAGTTGTGCATGTCTGTAATCCCAGCACCTGAGAAGCTGAAGCAGCAGAATCTTGAGTTTGAGGCCAGCTTGGGCTGCATAGTGAATTCAGGGCCGGCCTGGACTCCGGTCTACACAGGGAGACTCTTATTTCTAAAAACAAGGGTGGGTAGAGATTTATCTCAGTAGTAAGCACCTGCCTGGCAAGTGCAAGGCTGTGAGTTCAATCCCTGGTACCCACCCACCCCCACCCCCACCCCCAACCCCCGAAAATAAAGGATAGGGTGGGGCAAGGAGTAATATAACAACACATTTTTGCAATCCAGGAATTATTGCTAACACCTTAATATTTCGGGGGAGTTTTGTTTTGTTTTTGGGACCGGGAATCGAACTCAGGACCTTGTGTTTGCCAGGCAGATGCTGTGCCACTGAGGTATATGCTGGGCCCTTGCCAACACCTTAATATAACTTTATTTCTCTCCACTGATTGTAGGTTTTACTTTGGTTTGTTGTTTGAGGTGCTGGGGATATTTTTTGAACCCAAAATCAGATGTACAGTATATATTATCTTGACACCTGTTTTGCTGCTTCGGTTAAGCTTTCTCTCTTCCCATTAGATCAGTTGTTATCATCCCACCTAACACCCACACAGCATCTCACCTTTGTCACTTTGAGGCGGAGGCTGTGGGACAATTAGAGATCTGCATGTGAGGACCTCTGCCAGGTTCCAGCTACCCCTTCCTCCTG